ACCCTAAACCCTCAACCCTCAACCCTCAACCCTCAACCCTCAACCCTAAACCCTAAACCCTAAACCTTAAACATCCCAATTGTTCTTCGAGGCGCCTCGAAGTCCCGCTGCAAGCGGCCCTGGCACTGAGCCAAGTCTGCAACCCCCCCCCCCCCCCCCCCCCCCCCCCCCCCTCCGAATACGGTTTTTTTAGGGTGTAGGGTTTAGGGTTTGGGGTTGGGGTTTAGGGTGTAGGGTTTAGGGTTTAAGGCTTCGTATAATGGGAAACCCCCCCCCCCCCCCCCCCCCACCACCAAACAACATGCCGAGCCCAGGACCCTAAACCTGCCACACTCTGCACCTTGCACCCCCACCCCCAACCCCCCACCCCCACCCCCCCAGCCCCCCAGTCTACGGCCCCCTAAACCTAAACCCTAAACCCCCCTAAATTTCGGATATCAGGTCTCAGGGTAGTTTGATGGTCCCATAGTGTGGGCCCGTAAAAGGGGACCCCTTGCATATCCCATACAAAATTAGAAAAAAAGGGGCCCTTAAAAGGAGGCTAGGGACCATATTGAGGACGCATGCAACTACCCTGAACCCTGAACCCTGGACCCTAAACCCTGAACCCTGAACCCTAAATCCTAAACATCCCTAAACATCCCTAAACATCCCTAAACATCCCTAAACCCTAAACCCTAAACCCTAAACCTAAAGCCTGACGCTGAGAACCACTATGTGAACCGGCCAGGGCAAACCCGACGCGGGAGCCCCGGAGCCCTGGAACAGCGCGTTTGGGCACCGAGACGCGATTCTCCACAGTGCTACTTGGAGGGTTTAGGGTTTAGGGTTTAGGGTTTCGGGTTTCGGGTTTAGAAAACACTTGGAGGTTCATTGGAAGGTATCAGCAGGGCTATAGATACCTTCAGTCTACCCGACTCATAATCCTGCTTATAGCTGCCCATGAACCGAATAGAATATGCTACAGGGCCAACCGCTGGAGTCCGAGAGCCCCACGTTGTTTTCCTGAGATGCAGCCTTGTACCGATCAATTTCAGCTTTCACCTCAGGTGGGTGTTGGGATGAACAGTCTTTAATAGGGATTATAATAGAGGGTGCTATAATCCCTATTAAGGACTGTTACCATAAGGGGGAACATCCCAAGGTGGGTAATTAGGGGGCTGAATTCCCCAGTCCCAAAAAAAGTGAGCCTTGCCTATAGAGTAGGATTCTTTGTAGCCAAAAAGGCTACCTACCCAGCCCCTAGGATAAAGAGCTGCGGCTGGAGTGTACAGCACAGGGGCCTCGGTTCTTGCCTCTAAGAACATTTTCTTGCACTCGAGGACCAGCCAAAGTGGCTTCTTGCTGCCAGTCCTCCTGAAACCCGGAACTCTGGACATCCCAGGACGGGCTGTTATACCCTATAAGCCCCCTAAAAAGGCCCTTAACCCTAAACCCTAAACCCTAAACCCTAAACCCTAGGGTTGACTATGGGGATTATAGGGCCCTAATAGCCCATCCTGGTCAAACCCCGGCAGGGCATTCTGAGGTCAGTGACCACCTTCAATCTCTCCATGCACTTCTTGTAGGTCGAGATCTGCTCCTGCGTGGGGCCCAGGGCGTCCCAGCCCCCCAAAACCCAAAGGGGAGAAGGGTTTAGGGTTTAGGGTTTAGGGTTTAGGGTTTAGGGTTTAGGGAGAAGGGTTTAGGGTTTAGGGTTCGGGTTTCTGGTCGCCAGACGTTTCGAAATTTCGCCGCAGATTCCCGCAAGAGCGTGTTGCAACTTGAGCCCTGAACCCTTGGCGCCCGCGCGCCTCCATCTCTCGATTCAGCGCCGTGACCTTCATCGTTCGCGAAACTCTCGAAAATATCAGAAGAGGTCAGCAGGGTTTAGGGTTTAGGGTTCAGGGTTTAGGTTTTAGGGTTGTTTAGGATTTAGGGTTTTGTGGAGGCCCTGCTATACACAAGTCAGGTCTATGGCCAGGCCGGGTGGCAAAATCCTTGATATACAAAACATCGTTGGGTCCTGGAGGCATGTCAGGCACCGTGCGCTCACCCTAAACCCTTTTTTGCCACTGGACTGAAGGCAAGCCAGATTCCCATGCACCATCGAAAACTGCCGAGCAACTGCTAAGCACTGGACTCATAGCAGCCGCTCACTCGGCACACTGTCAAACAGGATAAGTTGGAACACTGTGTACACTGACCTTGCCGGAGCCAGTCGCTCTCCAAGCTGTCCGTGTTCCCCACCCGAAACCCTAAACCCTAAACCCTAAACCCTAAACCCTAAACCCTAAAACACTCCCAAGAGGCCTCTGGCGAGGTTGGCGGCATCGCGTTCTCCTGCAAGTTGCTCATTCTGCAGAGTGGAAGACTGAGCCATGACCAAGAAGAGAGTGATGTTTTTTGTGAGTCGAGAGGGTTTAGGGTTTAGGGTTTAGGGTTTAGGGTTTGGGGTTTGGGGTTTGGGGTTTGGGGTTTGGGGTTTGGGGTTTGGGGTTTGGGGTTTGGGGGTTGGGGTTTAGGGTTTAGGGGTTCAGGGGAGCTGTGGACATGCTGTCAAATTCCCCTAGGCCTGCAAAGCTGCATTTCCCTTGGCCGCCGCAGGCCCTCCTACGATTTGCTGAAGAGCCCCCAAAGAATGAAAACATTCCCTAAACCCTAAACCCTAAATTGGGTGGTAGGGGTTAGATTCTTTTAAATTTTGTCCTCTCCGAACCCGCATACCTCGACCGCCAAACACGTCAGAAAGAGTCCGTCTCGATCCTCTAAATATGCTTCTCAAGTCCCTCCGCCCTCCCATCCGTCCCTTAACCCTAAACCCTTTTCAGATTCTTGTCTAGTCGGTGGGCAGTACGGTCGACCCTAAACCCCCCTAAACCCGCAAGCCCGAGGTCGTCACCTTGGTCGAGGGATCGTGGGGCGCGCTCCCCATGACCCGGCCAAGCATCTCCTACGGTGGATGCGCGTTTTGGGCCGTTGAACCCTGAACCCTGAACCCTAAACCCTAAATCCTAGACAGGGAATCTAGGGATTGAGGCTCACAGGGCTTGGGGTCTTGGAGGCTTGCAGGATTCATGGGGGCTTCTAAGGGTGCCTTTGCGCTGCAGGGATTTCAGTGTTGGGGCTGTCTAGGGTCTAGGGTTTAGGGTTTAGGGTTCATAAGCCCCAAAAAAGGGTACACTTTCAGTTCTATGGGGGATTCTAGTATCCCAAAAAGTGTAAAGTGTGCTCACTCAGCTACTAAGAAGTACATGTCTCCGTTCGTGCTACCGCAAGGGCCAGCGACAGGGAAGTGACGTTTGGCCAACAAGATCTGAGCCCTGAAGCGTTGTTCCAAGACGTCGGCAGGGTGTTCTATACTCCACGTAGAACCTTAATAAAATAACATTTCTAATGCCTTGTTTGGGTTTTGTATAAACAAAAATAAAAGAATAATTCCCAAGGGGGATAGAGTGTTTGTCCGGATGCCCCGCGATATGATGCAACTGACGGCTTCAATGGTAACCAGGATGGGCTATTAGGCCCTATAATCCCCATAGTCAACCCTCTAAAGCACCTTTTTAGGGGCTTAGAGGGTATAACAGCCCGTCCTGGAATGCTCTGGGCTGGCAAAGCTACCGCTGAGTGACAAAAGCTCGCCATGCGCTATTTGGCCTAAACCCTAAACCCTAAACCCTAAACCCCAAACCCTAGTTGTCAATCGCCCCAAACCCTCCGGTGCCCAAACATCCCTGAACCCTAGACCCCAAACCCGGCAGAAGGCCCCCTTCCCATGAGTGCTGCCTTCTCGATCTTCTTCTGTATTGCCTGGACCACACTCCTGGAAGCCTCACGAGCCAGTCCCGACGCAGTTGAATCACCGGGTGTATTCGAGGATGGCCCCTTCAAAAACCCTCCGAAAGATATTACTGGACATGAGCCTCTTAAACCCAATAAGGGAAGATATGACATGTCCCAAGGGCCTACCTTGATCAGGAGCTTTTCTTGTCTTGTTTTCAAGGGAGGGACGAGTTGTGCGAGCAGGCTGGCGGCACAGCAGTCCAAGCATGTGTACACACGGCTATGCAACAGCGACAAACATGTGAGGAGCTGTCCAGTAGCCTACGGAAACTAAAGGTTAACCTTTGGGAATTTATAGGGGTTATACTACTCAAACAAGGTTAAAGGTTCTCAACTGTTCACGTTGCGGTTAGGAGGGTTGTGGAATCGCCTGGTTACATCAGCGCAAGAATGCTGAGGACCTCGCGTTTGCGCGGTCGCCTAGCTCCTTTGCTTCTGTCACCAGGTGCTTCATGGCCTCGCGTCCTTGCTGAAGTTTAGGGTTTAGGGTTTAGGGTTTAGGGTCTTAGGGAATCTGATACAGTTTATGCATGCCATATCCACACAACTCTTAAGGGATGACCGGCTGGTTTGAGAGTGATGAATGCTCCTACTTCTGCACCTGGATCAGGCTTCTCAGCCATGCCTTCTAGGCTTGCTACAGAAGGAAGCAATGCACAACTCGACTACGTAGTCGAGTGGCGCCTTTCGTCTAGAGAGCCTGGTCAAATCTTGCTGCGAAGTCCTTGCATCTCTTACCTGCCCATCTTAGTTGTCCAGTAACCAAGGGAAACTAGAAGTTAACCTTTGGGAATTATAGGAATTATCCTACCTAAAAAAGGTTAAAGTTTATCTACTCTACTACAAAGCCATGAGACAGCCGAACTGAAACGCTGCTTCTCTGAAAATACCAGCTTTCTTGAGTATGTCTCTGGCAACTGCATCCCCTAAACCCCTAAACCCCTAAACCCCTACACCCCTAGACCCCTAAACCCCTAACCCCTAAACCCCTAAACCCTAAACCCCTAAACCCCTAAACCCCTGAACCCCTAAACCCCTGAACCCCTAAACCCCTGAACCCCTAACCCCTAAACCCCTAAACCCTAAACCATGCCAGCTATTCAGTTTGTCGGGAGGGGAAGCCGTGAGGGATGCCCTGTCATGAAATCGCTAATGAGACTCGTTTAGGAAGACACGGCAACTCCACCAACATTGGAGAAGCAACAGCTCTTCGGAAATGGTCGAGCTCATATACAAACATTTTATACACATTCGTTACATATCTGCTCAAGAAAAGAGCAACAACAACACCCTAGACTGTCTTACGGCGCACGCTTGAATACAGCTATACACGAGGACATCAGCAGACACACCCAGAACTTTCTCAAAACACCACACTTATATATTTATGTGTGCTTGATGCTATATATATATATATATATATATATGAAATTCATATACATATATACATTGTCATATATATATATGTATATATATATATATATAGATATAAGAGCCCAAAAGGGCCTTCGTCCAAGGTCTCAAGTCGACGGACCGACTTCCGGAAGGCGTCGAAGGCCTCGTTTTTTGAGTGCTGGGGAGCCACTCATGTCGGAGGGGGTTTAGGGTTTAGGGTTGAGGGTTTCGGGTTTAGGGGGGGGGGGGGGGGGGGCTTAGGATTGAGGGTTGGCGGTTGAGACTATATATATATATGTATTATTATTATTACTGTTATTATATATTTTTGTTTGGGGGGGGGGGTTACCTTCGCTAAGACATTTGTTATTTCTGTGTCGCTTGTCAACGTCGGTAAGTTGCTCGGACTGCTGCGAGTGGAAACGCGAAACGCCCTAATTACCTGCTTCATGGTTGGGATAGCATGAAAATTCAAATTTCTATGCCTTATTGAGTTTAAGTGCCCTTAAACATGCACATTGGTTACCCCGCTATGACAAAGCTACAGCCTAAAAGCTTGAACACTTCTGTCGGGCTTCGGGTTTAAGCATTGGCTTCCGGAGTTTATCGTGAACATCAGACTAAACACGTAAGATGGTGTACGGCAGGGGTAAGGGCTGTCAACAGCAGAGGCTGTCGGATTTAGAGGTTTGCTGGGTTTGGGCTTTCCAGTTGCATTTCGCGCCTTGTTCCTGTCTAGGAGAAGAGCTGCTGCATCTGGAGGCGTAGAGCCTTCGTGCCCTAAACCCTAAACCGTTTTGCAGCAGGCAACCCTAAACCTAAACCCAAGTACTGCACATACTTTGGGTCTCGAAATCATGTTCCCTTTTGAGCCTCTTACAATACGATGTAATCTTAGGAACTTTAGCGTTGGCCCCAAAAGCCAGCATGACTTAGAGAATCACCGGGTTTAGGGTTTAGTTTTCCTTTTTTTCCACCCGCCTAGCTGGTTTAGGGTGTAGAGTTTAGGGTTCAGGTTTCAGGGTTTAGGGCACCCGTTGACAGATTAAACATGACTCTTACCTTTATTCCAACTGGTTATGCACTGCTGACATGCATGAGTCTCAACACCCTTGCTTCCATGCACTGTTTGGTTCCAAACCCTCCCGAAACCCCAAACCCTAAAAACCCCTAAGCCCTAAACCCTAAACCCCAAACCCTAGCCCTAAACCCTAAACACTAAGCCCTAAACACTAAGCCCTAAGCCCTAAGCCGTAAACCCTTAAACCCTAATTTCAAAACGAAGGCCCAAGATCTTAGACACCCTGGAGTCAAGACGATGGCTCTAAGCTCAGGGATGCTCAGCCTTAAACCCTAATCCCTAGACCCCCGTGCCCTAAACCCTAAACCCCCCCCACCCCCTTAAACCCTTAAACCCTTGAACCCTTAAACCCTTGAACCCTTGAACCCTTGAACCCTTGAACCCTTGAACCCTTGAACCCTTGAACCCTTGAACCCTTGAACCCTTGAACCCTAAACCCTGCGCACTAACCCTAAAACCGCTCACTAAACCCTAAAACCACTGGTGCCCCAAACCCCGGCCTGGTGACTGACGAGGTTCCGACGGTGCCGCTGGAGGACCTCCCCTGCCTGCAAGTTCTGAACGCTAACATGGCGTCCTGGGGTTCAGGGTTCAGGGTTCAGGGTTTAGGAGTTTTTTTAGGCAAAAAGACTAAGCCCTAAACCACAAACCCCAAAACTCCACACCTTAAACCCTTTTGCAACTGGCCGGCAACGATTCTGCCACCTTGAAATCCGGGTTGAGGACTTCGGAGCCCAACTTCAAGCAAGGCTTCCCCAGACTGGGCAGTGAAGACGGTTTAGGGTTTAGGGTTTAGGGTCTAGGGTTTAGGAGGCTTTGACTCGGCAGTGAAGATTGAGAGGTCGCGTTGCATTTGTCGCGCTTGCCGGGGGCGAAGCTAAAGTCGAAGATGGGCCACTCGAACTGGTAAGATGGCTGCGAGTTGCAAAGTCACGAAGTGTAGTACAGGAGCAGCCCAAGATACCATTCTCATTCAATGGGACCGAGACCCCCGCCTAAACCCTGACCCTAAGCAAGTACAACTCCAAAGAAATGGGCCCCGATGGAGGAGCCAACGATGTAGGGTTGAGGCCCGTGGGCCTGGGCGTGAAGGGTCCCCTCGTACTGGGCCTCTCATAATCCACCATTATCCACAAGGAAGGGGCTACACTGGTCTTACTAGTCTCACTATTATTGCTAGTATTCCGACTATTGCGATTCTTACTAGCCAGCCTCACTTGCTTCGGGCTTACAGGGCTTGCACTTTGAAGGACTAAGGCTTGAGAGCACCCTCGACCCTAAACCCTTTTTGCAACATCTTGTGCAACAACCCTACAGACCCTAAACCCTAACCCTACCCCCTAAAGCAGGTCTTGAACAGGCCCTTGCCTGGCTCGCTAGGTCCACTAGGGGCCGCTTGCGGGGCCGCTTGCGGAGCTTGGATGAAGACTGGGCCGGCGTGCGCCGCCTACGGGTGCGGCGCCCGAGACCCCTAACTGGTTTAAAGTTTGGGGTTGCACCCGACACCCTTAACCCACACCCCAGAGAAATTATATATGTATATAAATAAATAAATAAATATATATATATATATATACACATACATACATATTAGAAGATATCTAATGTTTTCCGGTGTTTTGGATTAGCAACACGTTCTGAAGGGGACGATAGAACTAGGAGCCTCGTCCATTCCTACACCCCTCCCCCCCCCCCCCCCCCCCCCCGGTTTGGGGTTCGCCAAACTAGGTTTAGGGTCAAGGGCTATCCCTCAACTCCTTCCTGTTTGGTAATCCGTGCTCGGGAGGGCAGGGGGAGGGAGATGTGAACATCGTAGAAGGCCTCGACGCGATGGCTACGCGCAGAGGCTGCGAATGAGGTATATCCGGCACTAGAACATTAATTCGGATCCAGGGTTCTTAGGGTTCTTAGGTTTCTTAGGGTTCTTAATTAGGGTTCTTCGGGTTCTTAGGACCCCCGGTCACATCCTTTCTTGGCGCCTCTTTGGCGGCCTTGGTGTTGCGCTTGCTGAGCGAGCCGACCTGGTTAAGACGACGACTCTCTTCCAAAAACCCTCGTGCAGGCCCCCTGCGTCACGGAACGTCTATGCTTCCCTCAGAGCCCTTGGAAAACATCTTTCATCTTCCCCTGGGGTTTTTTTCATACAAAAAAAAGAAGGGCGCCTCCTTCCTAAGGGAACTACACCCAGAGTTGTCCAGTAACCTAGGGGAACGTCACGGACCTTTGCCCTTGGATCTTTCACTTTCCTTCCTAAGGGGAGTTGTCCAGTAACCTAGGGGAACGAAAGGTTGACCCCTACCCCCCCCCCCCCCCCCCCCCAAAAGGCTAAAAGTTATCTACTCTACTACTAAGAAGCCCTAAACCCTAAACCCTAAACCCTAAACCCTAGACCCTAGACCCTAGACCCTAAACCCTAAACCTAAACCCTAAACCCTAAACCCTCCTAAGCCGAAGAAAGCACCAGGGTTGCGGCAAGCATGCTGATCTCATGGTCCCGGAGGGCCACCTCCGCAAGCTCTGCAAAAATCAAAGACAGGTCGGGGCTCACGGTCTACACAACTGACATCTCTTCAGGTTACTTCGTTGCTGAGTTCATAGGCCTCAAAAAAGTGTACACTTTCAGTTCTAAAGGGGATTATAGCATCCCAAAAAAAGTGTAAAGTGTACGCACTCATCTACTATCAGGTTAAGAGGTGCTCGCTTTTGGAGGTTCTGCTGTAGTTTAAGGGTCCCCCCTTTTTGTTTTTGTTTTTGAGGGGGTGGGGTCCTATAGTAAGATAGTAAGGGCTATAGTAGTTCACCTCATAATGCCCTAAACCCTACCCCCTAAGCCCTTATGACTTGTTTTGTCTTTTTGTGTTCTTGGGTGGGGGAGGGGGGTGGTAGATAAGGGGATCCCTATTTTGGGGAACCATCCAAGACAAGGATGCCGAAGCCCGGCAGAGAAACGCTGAAAAACCCAAGTGCTCCTTTCAAAGGATCTGGGCTTCCCTAACCCTAAGACAAGGCGGGTGTAGGGTTTAGGGTTTAGGGTTTAGGGTTTAGGGTTTAGGGTTTAGGGTTTAGGGTTTAGGGTTTAGGGAACCAAACCGCCCCCCACCCCGAAGCCATCGCAGCACCTCTTGGCGCAGCTGGTGGAGGGTTGCTTCGAGGTGGGCCATCTTGCCTGCCAGAACAATTACCTTTAGGGTTTAGGGTGCAGGGTTTAGGGTTTAGGGTAATTATAACCATAGTAGGGCACTTAAGGGGCTTATAAGTGGGCTATCAGCACAACTGGTTAATGGGTACCACGAACCTCAAAGGCTGCTTCAGATGAACTCGTGGTTGTGGGGCCTTGACGATACATCCCTAAGGATGTACCCCTCAGAGGCTCCCTTCGTCTACCCCTAATATGGCCCCCTATATTCTCTTGGAGGATCTTTAAGAAGGGTCCCCCTTCCCCCCCCCCCCCCCCCCCCCCCCCCAAACTTAAAGGGCGAGGTAGAGTCGCTGGGTTCATGGCTTCCGAGGCCCCAACCGCCCCAAGCCCTAACCTCCCCCAACCACCCACGCTCGCTTGGAGCCTATGGTCCATATTGACCAATGATAACTGTACTTAGAACCCACTTATAAGGTTTTTAAGTGCCGTCATATGGTCCTAAGTGGGTTATAAGTACAGTTGGTATTGGGTGAAAAAGTACCCTGACCCTCAACCCTCAACCCTCAACCCTCAACCGTCAACCCTAAACCCTAAACCCTAAACCCTAAACCCTAAACCCTAAACCCTAAACCCTAAACCCTAAACCCTACACCTAAACCCTAAACCCTAAACCCTAAACCCTAAACCCTGAACCCCCAAGCGAAGGCCTCGACGTGTTTCACCACCCATGCTCGATGGCCTTCGCCCCGACCTCGGCTCTTGGTAAAGGCGGCCGGGGATTTCATTTGCTCAGGGCTCTAAACCCTAAACCCTAAACTCTATACCCTTTTTGCTCGAGGGCTCCCGTGGTAGCTTGCGTGTGAGGTTGTTCAAACCCTAAACCCTAAACCCAAGTTTCGGGCAGTTTAGGGCTTTAGAGTTTAGGGTTGCCGAAGTTGTGGGGTGTGGGCCTCGGGTTCAGGAGTGCTCTACAAGTAGGGCGCACGTATGCAATGCTCCACAGCAACCTTAGGATTGCACTGCCGCACTTGGGTGGGAGTCTTGGGTCACGGGCTCAGCCCTCAACCCTAAACCCTAAAACCTAAACCCTAGGCCCTAAGCCCTAAGCCCTAAGCCCTAAGCCCTAAACCCTAAACCCTAAACCCTAAACCCTAAACCCTGACAGCGCTCAAAAATTTGATGTAACTTGTGCAGGCCTGGGTCATGGAACCATAGGGTTCTTAAGGGAGGGGGGATTCACGGGGGGTACTTGGAGGTTCGCGGCTTGGTGTTAAGTAGGGTTTAGGGTTTAGGGTTTATTGGAGGTCCATGGGTAGCTTTCAGTAGAGTTGTAAGTACCACAAGTAAGGCTAGAAGTATAGTTACCCTTATGTCTCAGAGAAACGAAGACACAAACTAACAGCTTAAGACCCCCCCCCAACAAAAAAAAAACTTCTTCCTTATAAGGGTAATATAGGGACTGTTGTCTTTTATTTTTTGTTGGGGGGGTACTTCAGCAAAGCAAATTCTGCGGCCAGTACTTTTGTCTTGCACTCCACGGTCGCTTCGCACCTCCAGAGAGCTTTGGTATCAGGTAAGGCAAACCCTACCCCCTAATTAAACCCTAAACCCTACACCCTAAGCCCTAAACCCTAAGCAAGGCGGCGCTTGGGAGATCTTCTCTCCTTCTGCCTGTACTGGCCAAGCTCAGACACGAGAAGGCGTGAGAGCGCGCCCAGTGGAAGGCCAACTACCTCAGACAGAACGAACAACTTAGGGTTTAGGGTTTAGGGTTTAGGGTTCAGGGTTTAGGGCTTAGGGAGGACCATCGAATCAGTGCTAACTGGCAAGTACTTAGAGCAACTAGACACGAGCCACAAACTGGGATACCTTCATTTCTCACAAAGAAAACACGCCACGTCAGGCTGCGACCAGTCCTACGTAAAAAAGATATGCGGAAATGACCGCAACGACAGGTTAGGGCACCTACCCGTGCCTGCACGCCGCTGTGGAGATCATGTCTCGTAGTTAACCACTTGAAGGACCTCTCTGGCAATCGAAGCTCGAAGTACTTGAAGGGTGGAATGGATATCATCAGAGCAAGCGCAGCAGTTTCACCCAAACCAGAGAACATGCCCACACTCTGCCAAATCACCGGATTCTGAACTTCCCCTTCGAACCACACGAGAAACAGTACATTTAAAAATGCCCTCAGGCCTAAACCCTAAACCCTAAAACGCATCATCTAAGGAAGTTTTAGGATCAGTTGCATTCTGGTAGTCGCCACGGATGCCGGTCACGAGCAAGCTGCCCACCGCCTGCACTGTCTAAATTTTCCCTTAGTTTAGGGAGTAGGGTTTTGGGTTTAGGTTTTAGGGTTTAGGGTTTTGGGTTGAAGGAGAACTTTAGGAAACCATGTAACTACCCTAAGACTACAGGCTTTACAGGGTCTTACGGTTTTGGGTTTGTGGGGTTTCGTTTTAGGGTTTTAGGGTTCAGGGTCTTTCCTAAACCCTTTGGGCAACCCTAAACCCTGAACCTGCTTAAACCTAGACGCCTCGGCCGCGCCACGTCCTACAACATGCCACCCTAAACCCTAAACCCTAAACCCTAAACCCTAAACCCTAAACCCTAAACCCTAAACCCTAAACCCTAAACCCTAAACCCTGAACCCTCCCCAGACCGGAGACCGTACGGGTTCGCATCCAAGCTGTCCGGTCGCGGGTCTTCGTAAGCATCGACAGGTGGTTCGAACCCCGCCTTTGGAACCCCAAGGCCTTAGACAGCTCCTTTTGAAGCCCTTCTTGAAGCCTCTCTTAACAAACCCCAATCTTGACCCTAAACCCTAAACCCTAAACCCTAAGCCCTAAACCCTAAACCCTAAACCCTGAGCTCGGAGATGCGTGGGAACTCTAAAGCCTGAGCCCTTGAACTGGTGGCCCTCCCACACCTGGATGCCGTAGCCCCCAGCTTTGTCAAAGGGCTCCCCTGTGGCGATGTAGGCTTTCAACTCCTGGTAGGGGGGGGGGGGGGGGGGGGGATTGCGAAGTTAGGAGATTACGGGCTTTGTTAGGGTGTAGGGTCTTGGGGCTTTTCGGGGCTTAGGGTTGAGGGTGTTAGGGCTGAGGGTTTTGGAGTTTAGGGCATGTCGGGCTTTTCGGGGTTCCGGGTTTGGTAGAGCTGGACTCCTCATCGGACAGCTCGGCAAAAGTGACCGTCGTCACTTCCTGGGTAGGAGCAGGGCAGCCCACCCTCGGCCGATAAGAAGCTATGCATAGCGATCGGCGAATGTCTGGCTCACTTTGCCGGTGCATCTTTCGTTTCTGTCCCTCTGCTTTGTGAACCTCTCTTGTGTATTCTGCCGTGCTCTCTCCAATCTCAGGCACTCCTGCTTTTCTCTTCTTCTCTCCCTCCCTTCCTCCCTCCCTCCCTACCTTCCCTACCTTCCCTCCCTTCCCTCCCTCCCTCCCGCTCTCTCTCCCTTCTTCTTGTGACTCGTGGGTGAGAAAGATAGCTGTTCAGTTCAGATCTGATGGCTCTTGCAGGGGGTAGGCGGAGCCCAGGGAGAGCCTGCGTTGCGTGAACCGCTGCTGATCACTGAAGCTGAAGCAAGGCGGCGCAGATGGCAACAGGATCTTCTGCCCCAGCGACCGAAACAGCCACAGCCGTCATCACCTCAAGAGGCTGACTTTGAGGCTCAGGCTCCTCTCTAGGTGTCACGGGAATAAGTAGGGTAACTGTAGTGCTGTAAGCTTCCCGTTGTTTGTTCGGGGAGGTGCCTGACCTAAAACCCTACTTATAAATAGCCATGACTTTCCCTTGCGATGGCACAGCGTGACAACCACCCTGATGCCATCCCAAAAGAGCCCAATGCCCGTTAACAAGGAATATGCTTTAGACTGTATTAGGGATCCTTAATATTCTTTAGCCAAGTGGTGCTTTGAAGACCTTTGAAAATTATTTTTGAATAGGTTCCCTTAAAAGGGGCAGAAGGGAAATTTGCAATTATCCCAAAGCACCACCCAGTTAAGGCATATTCCTTTTTTAAGGGGGGTTTAAAGGGCTCTCTTGGTCACACAGCCCGGAGCGCCTGGTGTTCGCGGCCCCTCAACGCCTGCAGCATCTCGAGCGCATGGTCTGCGTCCTGCGCGGGCATGGGTTGAGGGCGTATACAGGTGAAAAACATCAAAATTCCTAGCAAAAGCATAGGTGAAATATGTCTAAAAATCCTAGAAAACATGGAAACCCAACACTTGTTTGAAGTTTAACCACATATATAGATAAATAAACAAATATATACATATATATGTATATATATATATATATGTATGAGCGAAGTGAGGCTTGCACGTTGCGGCAGAACAGTTCAGGGAGAGGCTCGATGTGTCCTGAGGCTTCTCAAGTATTGTGTCGCCCCGGACAACAATTGTGTCGGATCCTGGGTATGGGATCGGAAATGGGTGGCAGGCTCTTTTCCATCGCACAACATCGCCATCCCATTGAAGGGATGCCTTTGCCTCTGAAGGCGATCACTTCATGCAGGATAGGCCCTCGCAGAGAAGTAGTGGGGCTTGATGAAGAAAGAGTACGGCCCCCTTCATCCTTCTTCTTAGGTTCTATAAGGAGACCCTTCTTGCATGGGCGCCTAGAATCCTATGTTTCCTGTTCCTATTCCTAAACCCTAAACCCTAAACCCTAAACCCTAAACCCTAAACTCTAAACCCTAAACCCTAAACCCTAAACCCCGAGGAAGCTGTCCGAGGTGCCGATGACAATGCCGACCTTCCTCTCCATCTCTTCGGAGAGGGGGTGCCGGGGGTGGGCGAGCTTCATGACTACCTGACGTACTGTTGCTGGGTAGGGAATGAGGGAAAGAGAGGCACTAGAGAATCCCTTAAAGGGTATATATAGGGGGATATAGCTAGTCAGGAATCCGATAATCCCTTAAAAGGGTATATATGTATAGGGGGATTAACCCTAAACCCTAAACCCTAAACCCTAAACCCTAAACCCTAAACCATTCCCTACTAACCAACAGTAAGCTGATGCGCAGCACAAGGCTTCTCACATCGGCTTGCGGACAGGAAGGCCATGGACACACAATCGTAAGACCGAAGCCCTAAACCCTAAACCCTAAACCCTAAACCCTAAACCCTAATTAAGCCCTAAGCGACTCAGGGGTGGCATGCTGCACATGCAGAACCCAACATCATGCCGTCATGTCGCTGAGGGGCCTATCCCACAACCCTCCTTTGTCATATCAAGCCTTCTTCAAGAGAAGTACAGATAGAATTGGGTTAAATCCTGATCCTTAAACCCTAGACCCTAAACCTAGAAGGAACAGGCCATAGTCTAAATTTGGTCCTTTGCCCTACCCCTTGAACTCCTGAACACTCAAACGCTGAAGTCACTCAACCCTCTGTGGGCACGGGGGACTTCTAGGACCTTCCTGGTGATGAAAGCCCCCACCTCGGCACACTTGATGCGTGCATTCGCCATCACATACCTGACGTCACCAGCAGGGTTCAGCAGTGACAGTTCTTGTGAACCTCGCAGCATTTTCTGACCTCCACCTCCCCAATCCTGTACCAAGCGACTTAAAACTCTAGGCCCTCAGCACGCTGCTGCATGTTGATTGAACTTAAGCTTCCAGGCGTGAGGGTTTAGGGTTTACGGTCTAGGATTCAGGGTTCAGGGTTTAGGGTTTCGGACAACCCTCATCCGAATCACTTGCTTCGAAGTCGCTCGCGTGGCGTGTACTTCGATTTGTCTAGGTCCTGGTAAACCCCAAACTACCCTGAACAGTGCTGCCCGGAAACCGAGGGCGTCGTAGGTTCTCTAGCTTAAGGTCTTTTGCGAAATCCTACTATATTCCGGAGCCTTGTGTATGGGGTGCCCAAACCAGTCCCCAATTTTTTGAGGAATCCCCCCATACCCTGGTGCTTCAAGAGACGTTTGGGTACCAACAGGGGGCCACTCATGCATTCGAAAAGGGATTATGATCCAGGACGGCCCTTAAAGCCCTCCGAAAAGTACTCCACCCTAAACCCTATAGGGTTTTTTGAACCCTAAACCCTAAACCCTGCAAGCAACAAGGGAAATGTAAGATGTCCAAAGGGGCCAGCTAAGCCTTGGTTCGGGGTTTTTCAAACCCTAAACCCTGTATTCCGAATAATTCCTCGTGCTCCAAAAACTTCCTACTTTTCACTAAGATTCTGGTACTTGAAGGTTCGTGGGTAGTTCTAAGTTGGGTTTTCTGTACCTTAGTGAAGGTTGTGACCTCTACTTGTAACCGCCTTTATATCTACCCCTGAACCTTCAAGTAGGGATCGACTCCTTCACCTGCCCTAGGCTTCAGGTTCCGCGTCCTCAGCAAACTTTGGCTTGACGACTTCGAAGGGCAATCCTGGCTTAGAATTTAGGGTTTAGGGTTTCAGAGTTTAGGGTTTAGGGTTTAGGGTTTCAGAGTTTAGGGTTTAGGGTTTCAGAGTTTCAGGTTTAGGGCCCTCTTCCTGATGTCTTGCCCCCCTCGTCTCGCCCTATTCCTTCTGCACGTTTTTTGTTTTGCGACGGTGGCGCCCCTTTGCAGCGTCAGCTTGCGGGTGGGCAAGTCCGCTCTTGTCCTTCTGTCTCTCTCTCCCTCTCTCTCTCTCTATATGTGCGTCCCGGGTTTCTGCATGTTTGCTCTGTCGGGACTACTTCCCTTATTTGTGCATCCTTTGTGCTGCTTACCCGTTTTGCAACTGGACTGCGGACAACCCTAAACCCTAAACCCGAAACCCTAAACCCTAAATACCTCTCTCCCCCTCTCTCTCTCTCTCTCTCTCTCTCTTGCTCTTCGACTGCTGCTCGATGGTCTCTAATCGCTTTCCTGAAGCATGACTGCTTTGAGGTTCATTAACCTGGCATGACACAGGGTTTTCTTAGGGGCTGAATACCCTAGCCAAAAAAAGTGAACCTTTGTAACATGTATTGTAGGATTCTATTGTAGCCACATCAGATTCTATGGAGCCAAAAAGGTTAAAGGTTACCTGCCCGGCCCCTAAGTTAAAGTATGTGAACCTTACGACATACACGAAGGGATGCAACCTTTTTTAGAGGGGTACTTATTACAAACCGGAGCCCCTAAACCCATGAGTCTTCAAGTGTGGAATCCATAAGGGGAAGGTTTAGGGTTTTGGGTTTAGGGTTTAAGCTTTAGGGTGTAGTACGGAAGGCTTTCACATAGCGCTTCTGCGACCTGCCCAACCATCACTCTTCGGGCCTTTCAGGGGTCAGGCTTTATGGATTCCACCCATGTGCAGTAGATCCTAAACCCTAAACCCTAAACCCTCAACCCTAAACCCTAAACCCTAAACCCTGAACTGCCCAAAATCCGAAACCCTAAACCCTAAACGACTTGCGGGCCGAGTCTCCCAGCAGTCCCAGAATCTCTTGCCGCCGGGGGCTGCTTGAGGCTAAAACGATGCGGCAATTCTCCTTCATCCATGGCACCTGGCCGGGACCCTAAACCCTAAACCCTACATCCTAAACCCTCTCTTACTATGTATATTTAAACCCTAATGGGAATCGTCGGCATATTGTTTTTGTCTGGGCCCTAATTAAACCCTGACACCCTTCGTCGGCATATTATTTTCTGGGTCCTGGACCAGAATCTGAAAATTGAGAGGGTCATTTCTGCCATATAAATTCTATTTAGAATTCAGCTGGAATCGGCCACTTTTGGCCGATTCCTGGGGGCTCCGCAGGGGCTCCCGTTCAGGGCCCTAGGGGCAGGGGCCCTACACCCTGACGCCCTTCGTCGGCAGATTGTTTTTTTTTTGGCCCTGGTGGACCCTAAACCCTGACGCCCTTCGTCGGCATATTTTTTTCCCCCTGGTGGGCCCTAAACCCTGACACCCTTCGTCGGCATATTGCTTTTTTTTTTTCTCCCCCTGGTGGGCCCTAAACCCTGACGCCCTTCGTCGGCACATTTTTTTCCTTTGGTGGGCCCTAAACCCTGACGCCCTTCGTCGGAATATTGTTTTTTTCCCCCTGGTGGGCCCTAAACCCTGACGCCCTTTGTCGGCATATTGTTTTTGTTCTTCCCCCTGGTGGGCCCTAAACTCGTCGGCATATTGTTTTTTTCTCCTGGGAGGGCCCTAAACCCTGACGCCCTTCGTGGGCATATTGTTTTTTCCACCCACCCACCCCCCACCCACCCCCCAAACCTACCCACCCGTCCCCCTTCCTTGGACCCCCTTTTCCGAACCGGAGTCTCCAAACCGCAAACCGGACGCCAAAGCCCCCGTGCCAGGACCACCCCTTGGAGCCGTGACAGGACCCCCCCTTCTCCAGCCAAAGCTCACGTGCCAGAAAACAAGAACCCTCCCTTGAAACCGTTCCTTTTCCAACCGGATGCTTTTGCCGACAATTCGCAGAAAAGAAGAACTCGTCTATTGTTGGTACACGCATAAGCACCAACAAGTCGTGGACAAGTACCAATAATTCTGGTAAAACGAGAAGTGAAATATTTTCATAATGTTATGGGATCCAAAGGGTGGGTGGGTCGATATTCGACACCGCTGTAGCGAGCTTGACTAGTGAATGCTTGAACTTGAGATGCTGAACCCTAAACCCTAAACCCTAACCCCCGGGCTTTTGGCACTCAAGTCGGGTTCAGGGTGTAAGGTTTAGGGGGCAATCGCTACTGCGTTGCGGTTGGGTGCACAAAACAAACCTAGGCTGTCCAGTAACCTACCCCTAAACCCTAAACCCTAAACCCTAAACCCTAAACCCTACACCCTAAACCCATAATCTACTCTACTACTAAGCAACTCCTTCGAAGCCACATCTTGCTTTGACTTCCATCCACTCCCTGGATGGCCCTGAGGATGGCCCATTCACGCTCTCCGAAAAATATTCCTGGACATGAGTGTAGGGTTTAGGGTTTAGGGTTTAAGGTTTAGGGTCTAGGGTGGGTTTAGGGATATGATCCTCTTAAACCCAACAAGGGAACATGTAAGCTGTCCCAAAAAGGGTTTACCTAGGCTCCTTTCTTCGGTAGCGTGGCGCCGGGCCTCCAGCAGAATTGAGGCCATGGGCTGGATTGAGCTACAACAAGTACAGGGTTCTTAAGGGAGGGAGGTTCAACTCCCGAAGCTTCCCGAATTTTCCCTAGGTTCCTACCCCCCTTGAACCCCCCTGCCGTTAAGAACCCTATGAAACAAGCCAACTAGCCGAAACTTCCATGCTCTGCCGCTCAACGACTTCATATCTACAGGCATTCTGTGCATGGAAACGGGATTTCAAGCAAAACTCACGACAACTGATCATCAACTTGCTGTTTGTCTGGTATGTGTCCGCGCTTTGGACGGACTAGCGTTGTCTGGAGCCACCACAGGTCGGTACGCCTTGTTTTCCCTGGTCAGCTCGTGCGCTTGCAGCTTCGAGTCTGTTGGAGGGCGCAGCACGTACGAAATCCGTACTCTTTCGGCGGCTTCCAAGACTACTTTGTTTTAAGTGTGAACACGGTATTGAGAGCCTATCCTTGTGCAGTGCTATTGTGCTATGAGGCAAAACGTTGGCGCCAGCATGTCTTGTTCCAGAAATGTAACAGATCCTTGTGCAGCATAATTCGTGCTCAAAATTTACATACCGCAATACCAGTCTTTTCGGCATGGCCGCCATATGAACGAACGCTATGATCCCTCTCCCCGAGCAAACAAAACAATAGAGCGCCCCGTCCTACCAGGGCTCACAGTCTGTTCCTAACTTTAACTGCGTATTGACTGGCAAGCCTTCTACGTCATGTCTGCGTCTCGGCACCTCAGTTCTCCAAACAGGGCGATGCGGTCCGCTTGGGGTTTCGCTTTGCTACTAAAACGAACCGAGATGCCCTTGGCCTCAAGGAACACTGCGTGCGGCCCCCAGCGCAGCGGGTGCTCTCGGATTGGTGGCCTGACCGAAAAGCGCTTGGGGCTCACACTGCCCAGTATAGGGGATAGGATTAGGGGGACCTTTGGGGATATAGACCCTCTGAATAAGGTCCCTGCTTAAGAGAGCCAGAAGAGGGTTCAGAAGGGGTTCCCTTTTAAGGGTCCCCCTTATCCTACCTAGGACAGTACCTCTCGCGATCAAATCAATGCCCAAACCTTGAAGCCCCTTGCACAACAAGCCAGTGGAGAAAAAAAACACTGCTGTCGCAGACCCATTGCTTGGAGGTTCATGGGTAGTTAGAAGTAGGGTTATGAGTATGGTAGTGATACTTGTAACCCCACTTAGGGTACATAGAACCCTACTTGTAACTACCCATGAACCTGCAAGCGAGCCCTGGGGTCTTTTGTGGGCCCAGGATGGATAGTTGCATGGTACATATCCAAGGTTGGATTCATAGGGATCCGCAGTAGGGACCTTTATTCTGTCTAGGGCATATGTGGTATTTAGGGTTTATAACAAAGGACCCAGATGAAGCGGCCCGTACTTGGAACCCTAGAATACATAGAGCATAGTAGAGTGCGCAGCACCGTATGCGAGAACGCTAAACCCTAAACCCTAAAGCCTAAAGCCTAAAGCCTAGAGCCTAAAGCCTGAAGCCTGAAGCCTCAAGCCTCAAGCCTAAACCCTAAACCCTAAACCCTGAACCCTGAACCCTAAACCCTAAACCCTAAACCCCAAACAGAGTTTTCCCAGAATCCCCCCCGCAGGGCTGAGGCAGGTTAGGGTTCAGGGTTCAGGGTTCAGGGTTCAGGGTTCAGGGTTCAGGGTTCAGGGTTCAGGGTTCAGGGTTTAGGGTTAAGGGTTTAGGGCTCAGGGTTCAGGGGTTTAGGTTTTTGTTTTGCCACCCGCTTAGCTGGGTTTAGGTTTAGGGTTTAGGGTTTAGGGTTTAGGGTTAGGGTTAGGGTTTAGGGCTTCGGTCCCTTATCCCCCAATAGTAGGCTCCTTTTGTTTCTGTTTGAGTGGGACTAAGACGGGGATTCATATTCTAGGGTTTAGGGTTCAGGGTTTAGGGTTTATGTACCTACATAGTGGGGTGCAGGGCCCAGGGGACTTTAAGAGTTTAGGGCTGTACACAAGCCTTCGGCCTTGAACTGTGTGCGACGCTTTTGCGACACGCAAAGCTGGGGGAAGCGCTCAGCAGGGAACCAACATGTTGTTTTCCCGCCCAAAAATCTCGAATCCAAACATCCACGTTCACACGCTGACCACACCAACACCAACACCGCCACCAAAATGGCGCTCCTGGGTTCTTGGATTTTACAGTAGGCGTTTAGAAGCAAGACAGCATAGAACAGCCTATATGAACCCTGTATAGATCCATGTACCATGTTAGCCACGGCTTCGCGAGATGAGACTCGCGCCAAATGTCTCTTGTGGCTGAGGGCCATAGAGGTTTAGGGACTTTAGCACAGAGTTCAGGAGGCCCAACTTCTAGCCTTTTGCAGCTTCTGGGTTGTAAGGTTTAGGGCATGAGGGTGATAGGGTTTAGCAAGTTGTGAAGGGCAGTGGTCCTGAATCCATTGCGGGCCGCGTATATGCGTGCCTGCCACTGAATGTTGCAGGTGGCCAAGACGTCTCGGCTTCGCCGAAGTGCGGTGCTTCTGCAGGAAAAGCGCCCTGCATGTACAAAAGTATGAAACTCCTCCACAATATCAGTGGAGCCAGATTTCTTGCCTGTGGAGCCAGATTCTTGCCAGTAACATCCGGGGGCCAATCTGAATTATGGACTCTCTTCTTGGTACCAAACAAGCATTGTACTTGTAAAGGGGCCAAAGGACTCACAATTTAGATCAGCCCCCTAAACCCTAAACCCTAAACCCAAAACCCTAAATACCCACATATCCGGCAGGGCTTCTTAAACATTTTGGCAAGGAGGCGAAGCCAACAATTTTCAAATGGACCCACCCAACACCCCTTAACTAAGGAAGATACCTTAGCCTATCTGAAGTAGGGTTTAAATTTCTTGTACCCCCAAAAGGACACCAAATATATACACTCACCAATCTTAAAAAGGAACCTTATATACACTCACCAATAACAGTAATACAAACCCTGCTTCATATAAGGATCCCTAGTATGGATTTGAGACATATTCCTTATTCAAGGGGTCTTGGGCCTGTCCGGGAAGCCTGATACTCAAGTGCCGCACCCACGAAGATTGGATGATGGATGCCACACCCCTACCTCCGGGTTTAGGGTTTAGGGTTCAGGGTTCAGGGTTCAGGGTTCAGGGTTCAGGGTTCAGGGTTTAGGGTTTAGGGTTTAGGGTTTAGGGTTTAGGGTTTAGGGTTTAGGGAGCTGGCTGCTCAGGAACGTAAACAGAGTAAGCACAGTCTATGCTCCCCCTAGAACCTTAATCTAAAAAAAACCACTTCCTAAGGGGGCTATAGGAGTTAGAAAAGGCAAATCCTTATAGCAGAAGCCAAAAAAGTTGGAAACTCAATAGCCTCAATCCCTAAGAGTAAAGAATAGGGAATCCCAGCACTATTTGTCCTTGAAAAGGTTTCCAACTTTTTGGGGTTTACTGTAACAAGAAGCAGCCCTAGCCTGTCCAAATTTCAGCCTTGCAGTGGGTTTTGCGACGCTCCTGCCTAAAGGGCTGCTTGCCTTACCAGCAGCAGCAAAACAACATAGTGCACCTCTGCGTGTGGCAGTGTACTCTCTTTGCAGATACGAACCCCTTCCCCTAATGAAAACCCCAAAGGGGCTTTAGTATTAGTGGGGGGGGGGCGTTCTTATCATTTGTCCGAACTCTTAAACCCGAACTATTATTTGCTTCTTTAAGAACCCCCTTACAAAATCGATAATAATATTCTCCATGTTGCCTTATACGGAAGAAACTTGTTGCTTTTTTTTGGGGTGCGGTGTTTCTTAAACAAATCGTTGTACATCCTAAACCCCAAACCCGCACAGGGGTACCTCCTATTTGGGGATTTGGGGATCTATGTTGGAGGGTTTAAGGTCTAGGGTTTAGAGGGGGGTTTTCGTAAACCCCTTGTAAACCTTTTGAAGTCGACTTAAGCACCCTGCCACTTCTGTCAATGGGTAGAGGGCGTCTCCGCTTCTGCGTACGGACGCCTCGCCTGGGCCAAGGCACTTATTGATGCTTTAGGATTAGGGCTTTAGGGTCGAAACCAAAAACCAAAAATCCTAAACCCTAAACCCTAAACCCTAAACCCTAAACCCTACGGTCTATGGGGAAGAACTAACGGGTTATAGGGGCTTCGGGAGGCTCAGTAGTGAAGGTTAGGATTTCAGTACGACCAGTAGCTTACGAGCAGAGTACAATGTTGCCAAAACGCCCGCCAGCAGCCACAAGGTCGTTAGGGTTTAGGGTTTAGGGTTTAGGGTTTAGGGTTTAGGGTTTGGGGTTTAGGGTCTAGATTTTAGGGTTTAGGGTGCCTTCGATCCTCTGATTGCACTGGGCCTGCCCTAAGCAACAAGTAATGGAACAGGGCGGCCTGAACGTGTACAGAAGTACAGTACACCCGATCCTAAACTACATCGTATACGTAGTCTACTCCATGTGATGTAATTCGTCTACGAAATATGACAATCTCAAGGCCGGGGAACATTGCAGCAGGCGAGTTCAGCATTCAAGTGGAAGTGTCCACCACAGCATCACGATGGGATGAAAGTCTGGCGTCGCGTCGCAGAGTCCCCGGAGGAAGCTTGGGCTCAGGGTTGCATTGATGAAGGAAAGCGTGACCTCGCACGTAATTCCTAGTGCTGTGAGCTGGGCCATGAAAGGCATCTCGCGAAGGCCATGGAGAGCGAGCGCAGGGATCACTGCTCGCTCTTGGCCTAGCAGCCGCCGGACTCGGGAGCGGAGCGACGTGCGCCGGGAGCCCAGTGAATGGCAGTGGCCTATCATCTCCTGCGAGCAGTGCACTAGAGAACACCATGCTTTCATTCCTATGTCTCTCTGTCTCTCTCTCTCTCTCTCTCTCTGCTGTGGCCATCCCCGAGGGTCTTGCTACGCCTGCTACGCAAGACCATGCTTTCATGGCTGTGCTACATTCTGAATTCTGCTAGGAATATATGCATGCTTATGCGACGCCAAGCAGTGCACTCCAAATGGTTTGCTGGCGTATCGCCTCCCCTGGCTTGTGCGGCAAGACAGCGTCCAGTGAGGAGGCGCACCGATTGCCCTGTTCGTTGACCTCATCCACAACCGCTTAGGGATGGTTTACTTGGGGGGTTCGTGGGAAGTTATAAGTAGGGTGTTAAGTACCCTCAATGGGGTTATAAGTATACCTACCATTCTTATAACCTTACCATCAACTACCCATGAACCTCCAAGTAGGGGCGTCCAAACTGCAGTCTAGCCAATGCGCTTGGGGGGGAGCCTACAGTGAACTGCAAAGAATAAAGGTAGCTTAGCTGACGGCCAAAACCACATGCTCCCCCTGATACTAACAGCCCTGAAAAAGGGCTTGTACCCCTATTATAATCCCTATTCAGGTATTCAGGACTGCTGGTATAAGGGGGAACATCCCAACCCTAACCCTCCCTTAAGCAAGCAAAGCCTGGACACCTCACCCACGCGCCAGACTCCATCTCCAGTGACTGGTCTCCCAACACCTGGCCTTCGCTCCACGCTGATTAGCCTGCTCAAGCGCAATACTCCCATGTATGTTCTAAGCCCTAAGCCCCCTTAGAACCTGAATAAAAATTAATATTCTCTGGGGTTTATATAAAAAAAGTTCCCAAGGGGATCGAGATTTAGGGTGCTGGCAGTGTCGGGTTGCGGGCGCAGGGTATGAACAGTTCCCGAGCTCTAAGGACCTAGCGACACCGAAAAGCAAACCCTTAAACGCTTCCAAGCACCCTAAACCCTAAACCCTAAACCCTGAACCCTGAACCCTAAACCCCTAACCCCTAAACCTTTAAACCCTAAACCCTAAGCGAACAATGGTTGCGCTATGGTATAGGACCTGCCGTACCGCATGGAGGTACTAGAGTAACCCATTCTGTACCATCTAGGCTACTCGCCGTAGTACATACACTCGGGTTTAGGGTTTAGGGTTTAGGGTTTAGGGTTTCGGGGTTTAGGGTTTAGGGTTTAGGGTTCCCTAAGCCTATTCTGCAACAAGATGTGGGGAACGTCAAGATACTTTTCAAGTTCACGTTAGAACGCACAGTCGAACGCCATGTTTTTGTAAGCAGCTCAGTGAATGTACCCCGAGTGCCTGAGACGTAGCCTAACGTCGGCCTCGACCCGAAACTCCGCGAGGATATGCTCAACCCAAAAGCCAAAACCCAAAACCCAAAACCCAAAACCTAAAACCCTAAACCCTAAACCCCTAAACCCCTAAACCCTAAACCCAAAACCCTAAACCCTAACCCTAAACCCGAAACCCTTGCCTCGCCGGATTGGCGTTATTCCGCGGCAGGTCGGCCTCCAACATCTCCGTGGAGACAGGGCTCATGGGCAGCAGCTCGTTGACAACCACCTTATCCTCCACTATCCTCGGTGGGTTTAGGGTTTAGGGTTTAGGGTTTAGGGTTTAGGGTTTAGGGTTTAGGGTTTAGGGTTTAGGGTTTAGGGTTTAGGGTTTAGGGTAAACCCCTAAACCCTAAAACCGAGGTGGTGCATGTCACCCGTGGTTGGATAAAGGAAGCATCACAACAGCAAGTGCCACGAATATGTTCAAGTGCAACCTTCTGTTCAAATGCACACCGGTGTCTCGAGCGCGAGCAAGACAACAAGGGCGCAGGCGGCGGATGTGTTGAAGGCTGGAGCCTTAGGACCTTCCAGCACGATGTCGCCGTAGATGATACCCCTGGCAGCTACAAGAGTCAAGGGCACGACAAATCGGAAGTAGCCTGCGTAGATCTTCACCTCGTCATGCAGCTTGGCCCAGCCGGTTGGTAGTAAATTGGTTGCCATGCGTGGGCTTGCAAGCTTCAGAACTCGATACGCGAGGTACTTGGTCCACCCCAAGCGAGTACAAATGTTCATGACCAGCGTTAGTGCCGCGGACCCGAGCCAGCTGAACCTTCCGGATGTGACCGCACCAGCAAATACTGAGATCAGCCGTGCGGCCTCCGCGAAAGCATGGGCTGAGATCAGCATGTAGGGCATGGCAATGTATGACATGTCGCCCGGCACGGCTGGACGCTTCGTGAGAACGAGCCGCTCATACCTATGCTCCCCTTAGAACCTTCATAAAAAACATTCGTTTAAAGACCCTCTTGGGTATTATATTAACAAAAAAGCCTAAACCCTAAACCCTTTTTGCACAGGCTTGTCTCAGCGAGCCTGGTCGAGCCTAAACCCTAAGCCCTAAGCCCTAAACCTTAATGATTCCCAAGGAGATTAAAGGCACATCAGCTTGGTGCAGAGCACACCGCCCGTCTCCACCATGGCTGTTGCTACGGGCATGAAGACCGCTGCAGCCGAAGCCTGATCGTTCGCCAGCAGCAGCATGTAGAACACCACCACCTTTTTGCTGAGCTTGGAACCCCAGCAAAAACATACATTTTTTGCTGCTTCTTAGGAATTCTGGTACCTAAATATTGAAAAAGTGTTTCCAAAGTATCCCTAAGCAACAGACGCTTGAAACATGGACATTCCGATCGTGCCCAGGACCTGGGCGCAAGTCCAGACCATGCAGGGCACCAGCCGACGTTGGGTGTGCCTTGCGCGCGTGAGGTAGTAGACCAAGGGGGGGGCTGCAATGAAGAGGCCAGCAACTCCTTAGTTGTCCAGTAACCTAGGGGAACTAAAGGTTAACCTTTGGGACATTTTTGGTATTATACTACAAAAAAAGGGTAAAGGTTATCTACTCTACTACTAACTTTGGGAATTTATAGGGACTATACTACCCAAGAAAAGGTTCAAGGTCATCTACTCTACTACTAAGACTCCCATTAGAGACAGCGGGTAATCTGCGACGTGCGCTCGCGTCCCAATGGCTGCAAAGACCAGGCCTTACTTGTCCAGTTTCGCAGGGATGGAATGGTGTTCAGCCTCGGGTTCTACAGGGTGTTGGGGTTTAGGGGTTTGGGGTTTAGGGTTTAGGGTTTAGGGTTAGGGTTTAGGGTTTAGGGATTCTATAGTCTGTGCCAGATACGTTGTACTAGCAAGCAGGGAAGCTTGCAATTAAGGACAGTATCGCAGATTTGTCCGTTTGACAACAGGTACCGTGCAACTCCCTACAAGGGATCCATTGCACGGAATGGCTAGAAGGGGCTTGTAGAACTTCCTCAACCATAAACCCGAAACCCTCAGGTAAGAGGTTGCTTTCTGACGCGCCAAGACACATAGCAGCATGCCGATCATGTTGGTCAGCCATGTGGGTCTCTCGCCTGCAAGGCTTTCGGCCCAGGTCTCGAGAAGACCCGCTGTGCAGAACACCAGCCCGTTGACCTAAGGTGGCCATGCAGGCAATCAGAAACGAAACCTTCAAGACGGACTATTTTTTATGCGCAGACGAGGGGTTACAAGTACCATGACATTTCATGAGCTGCTGTGCCATAGTTATGATCTGCCACAGTAGGCTGAACCGTAGCCCACCTGAAAGGTGCAGCGCTTGCAAACACACAAAAACCCGATAAAAGCATCCTCGAGTCAGGTCGAGTGACGGTGACCAAGGCACCACGCCACCAGGGGAACTGACCCAACTGTGCCCACTGTTCAAAATGCATACTGACTGCCCACCGCACGACGTGCCACAGAAACCTAGGTTGGCCCCTACTGAAACCTTCTGAAACCCATTCCTAAAGTATGGTCCTTCTAAACCCACTGTGGGAAAGCCCAGCTACCATCTATTCAATAAGGATGCCCTTTTCGGGGTTGGTTACTTTGTATGGCAAACCCTGAGCCCAAAAAAGCAAAAGCGTACCACCCGGCTACCAACACAAAACAATATTCCAAGGGCCTACCCAGAAACAGAATGGCCATCGAGATTGTCACGTACCGCCAAGAAAAAGTCCCACACGCTTTCAGCTCAAGGTTGACGACCTCGACAGACAACTCCCGCGCAGTCCTTGCTTCTCCAGTGCCCAAGAAATAAACACAGCAGTTAAGCTGTTACTCTTCCTACCATATAGGAAGGTCCCAAAATCTTAAAGGTCATCTCTCTAAACCCTAAACCCTAAACCCTCAACCCTCAAGCCTCAACCCTAAACCCTAAACCCTTGGTCATAAGTTCCCAAAACCTTATGAAGGTCATCTCTTTAGGCCAGGTGAGAGTCTGCAGGTCCGGGTTCAGGACAACGTGCCCCGAAATCTCAACCTCAGCGCCATCCTCCTGATCCAGAATGCGAAGGTGCTGCAGGTGCCCATCATAAGAGCCGTAGATCTGTAAAGTCCTTGGTAGCCCTAAACCCAAAACCCATCATAAGAGCCGTAGATCTGTACAGTGCTCGGTAGCCCAGGAACCATGTCATAACAAGGGGGCACCCTCTTGTGGGCTGGTTACTCTGAAATAAGGGAACCTTGAACAACCCCCTAAAGGCACCACTGGCTCACCAAGAGTCTGATCTTCACCAAGAGAGACGGCATCGGAGCCCGTCTTGCTCCAGTAGGTGCGAAAAGATGGACCCAGGCGCTTCCCGAAGCTCGAGGTCTCGCCGAGCGGCGGCTGCCAGAAGAAGCCTAGTTCATGGTTGGGATAGTATGAATAATTTAAATGTTTTTCAGCCTTACTGAGTGTAAGTACCCTTAAACATGCAAAATGTTCCCGAACTATGACAAAGAAGCAGGAGCTAAGTCTGTCCGTGGCGCAGATGCTCACACGCTCATCCTCCAGCCCACGAGTCAGCACATGTACGAGCCGACCTGGCAGTGTGCGAAAATAGGGGGGGAACCCCCAGCAGAGATCCCCCCTACATAGTAGGATCCCCTTCTAAGGACCCCAAGAAGGTAGCCTTTAGGGTTTAGGGTTACATAAGGGTTAAGGGTTTGGGGTTTAACCCCCTCACATCGAAAACCCTCCACCTCCGGCCGCTATCCGTCTTCTTGCCAGCACTTCGTCCGCCTCACCACCGCTGCCGACGATTATGAGGCAGTGATCGCGGAAACTCTGAGGGTCAAGATCCATCTGTGGTGAAACGTGCCCGTGCCTCTGGTGAAACAAGCCTGCGCAGTGGCCCTTTAGGGTCCACCACGGGAACCCTAAACCCGCAATCCCAAACCCGGAATCCTAAGCCCGAAGCCCGAAGCCCTAAGCCCTAAACCCTAAACCCTAAACCCTAAACTCCAAACCCTAAGCCCTAAACCTTGAGAACCTTCAGTGGGTGCAGATCTCTCCGACTGGCTCCCCACAAGCCTTCAAGCAGCGGCCAAGGTCTCCGTGTTCGGCGTTTAGGGTTTAGGGTTTAGGGTTTAGGTTTAGGGTTTAGGGTTGAGGGTTGAGGGTTGAGGGTTGAGGGCTTAGGGTTTGGGGTCTCGGGTCTGGGTTTAGGGTTTATGGCTGAAGGGTTTAGGGCTTCGGGTTTGGGGATGTCTAGACCCAAGAGTATTACCCAGGAATAACAAGGGCGCCCTGTTTGCTTGTTGAAGGGGGGCTTATAAGCGAGCCTAAACCCCTAAACCCTATCCCCTAAACCCTAAACCCTAAACGACTCCTAGATGTTGAGGGGTTTGGGGAATTTTGGGGCTTCTCGGCTTTCCTAGGGTCGTGGGTTTGTAGGGTTTAGGGTCTAGGGTTTAGGGTCAAGGTTCAGTGTTGAGGGTTTACTGTCAGGCACCCTCAACCCTCAACCCTCAGCCCTCAACCCTCAACCCCGCGCCCTTTACAATCCATACTGGCCCGGGGGATCGTTCACGCTGCTCTGGTGCGAGGGCAGAAATAGGTCAGGGGGGGTTAGGGTTTAGGGTCTAGGATTTAGGGCTCAGGGCATCTTCCAATCCCAATTAAGGACTGTCAGCATAAGGGGAAACATCCAAAGATATACGTTAAATCATATGAAGGATCCCTATATACTTTAAGGTCTATTCCTTATTGAAGAGGTATTGGGCTCTTTAGGGAAAGCAGGACTCCGTTGGGTTTAAAAGGGCCCCAATAAGGTACCCCTAATTTCTGAAACACCCATATGGGTATTTCTCAAAATAGGGCTACCCCTTTTATACCCCAAAATAGAACTTTAAAGGGCCCTGAACCCTAAACCCCCAACCCTACACCCAAAACCCTACACCCTAAACCACCCTGAACCCTAAACCCTAAACCCTAAACCTTAAAAAACTTCCGGAACACCCATATGAGAGTCTCTGAGAGCGTATGCCGACAACCGAGGATGGCTGCTGCCTCCGTGGTGACATCGACAGCGAGACGAGTGCCTGTTGGAGTTCGTTTAGGGTTTAGGGTTTAGGGTTTAGGGCTTAGGGCTTAGGGCTTAGGGCTTAGGGCTTAGGGTCCCCCAAACCCTAAGCCCTAAACCCTCCGGGTGCAGGGTTGAGCGTGCTTTTGAAGGCCCCCCAGCAGCTGCAGGATAACTTTTTGCGGAGCAACTTGGATGCCATGCCTTGCATGCTGAACTGCTGAACCCTAAACCCGAAACCCTACATTGAACTGCTGAACCCTAAACCCTAAACCCTACATAGGAGGCAAGAAAAGCCTTAGATCCTAGGGCTAGGGAAGCTTCTTGTGATGCCAGGTTGGTCGCACTCCCACATTCCGCACGCCCCAAATGCATAACCAATGGACATCTACTAAGCAAAAGCCTAAGCCCCAAACCCTGAACCCTAAACAGTTGTTCACATACCCTTGGGTTTCATGAAGAAAGCATGAAACCTAAACCCGCAAAACGGGTCTAGGAGTTTTAGGGATTAGGCGAGTGCTTCGGGCTGCTCCTCTTCGAGAGAAAAAAGTCCCCCCCCCCTCCCTCCCCACCCCCAAAAGGTTTCGGGGTCTAAGGGCCCCAAGGTTGAGGGTTTAGGAGTTTGGAGTTTAGGGTTTAGGGTTTAGAGTTTAGAGTTGCGCTCTCCAAAACCACAAGCCTTTCTGACATCTTCTTGGACTGAGATGCCGGCCTCTAGCTATCTGCTTAAGGGTTTAGGTATTTGATTCAGGGCTTAGGGCTGAGGATTCGAAACCTAAACCCTAAACCCTAAACCCTAAACCCTAAGCCCTACACCTCCAGAACATGCAGCCGAACAGCCCAAAGTTGCCGCGGCCACGGAGCAGCATGAGGCATGGAAGCAAGAGGCTGTGTGTGCAAGGGGTTAAACCCTAACTTAGTGGTCCAGTAACCTATGGGAACTTAAGGTTAGCCTTTGGGAATTTATAGGGATTATACTACCCCAAAAAGGGTCTACTCTACTGCCAAGATTAAACCCTAAGGATGCACGTACCTGTATAGTATGTGCCTGGGCCTTAAAGGGGTCCCTATATAGTAGCTTTAGGGCCCAAGTATATACTACATGGGTACATAGATCCTTAGGGTAGGTTCAGGGCTTAAAGGCTGAAAGGGTTTAAGAGTTTAGGGCCTCACGTCGAGCTCAGGCGTCTTAGGGTTTAGGGTTCAGGGTTCAGGGTTTAGGGTCAAGGACCCCTTCCTCAAGGAGGTAAGGCGACTAAGCTCCATGTTGAGGTTCAAGATTGAACTTAGTTGGAACTGCAGTTCTGACAAGGTTGGCGCAAATCTAATGGGTCATAAAATTGGGGATCGAATGTTTGCACTGCTTCTTTCAGTGCATAAAGCTCTGACGCTCGCCTGGCGGAAGCGTGATTGTCTGTGCAGAGAGCACTACTTTTCACACGAACAGAACGCGCAACCCCCGAAGCCCTAGCCTCAAAAAGACTGGGTTTAGGATTTAGGGTTTAGGGTTTAGGGTTTACATCCCTCAACACTCTACATGTCATTCTTGGACCTCCCTGTCCGGGGAGCTATGGCCCCCCCATGAGAACATGTCGAAGAGTTCCTAAGTAAACCCTGAGCCCCAAGCGCTGACCTTAACCCTAAACCCTAAACCCTAAACCCTAAACCCTAAACCCTAAACCCTAAACCCCACAAAGCCAAAAACATACCCGGTAAGGAGCCTCCGAATCCAAACGCCCCGACGAAAAGGAGACCCTAAACGCTGAATTCAAAGCTCTAAAGGGTTCAGGGTTTAGGGTTAAGGATCCTAACACAAGCAGAGAGCCCGGGTGTGTGGCTCAGCTGGACGCGAGTCGTTGTTCTGCCAGTACACTTCACCTCGGATTTTGTCGGGGAGCTGCTGGTGCAGGGCTTTCAATGCCAGTAGGGGGTAGCTGGACACAGCCTGAACAGAGAAGCGGTCCTCTTGCACCAACACCCACTGGTTTCGGGCTGAGGGATGCTGAGGGTTTAGGGTTGGTATCACAAAGTAGTCGTGGCTTCTTTCTGAACACTGGCCGACACCGTCACCACCTGGATGACATGGAGCCCTGTTTTCTGGGAAGCACGCCTTCAGCACTTCAGCTTGCTTTCTTGTCTCGGTCTGAAAGCGCATGTGCGTGTGAGTTGCTTCGTAGACTCGTTCCCTTCCAGCTACGACTCTAGGTCTCAGCTCTCACTGTGCAGACCTCCAGTCTGCCACTTCCTTCTCCCCCCCGACTTCCTGGCATTGCGGGCAGCTGCTAGAGAAGGATCCCTCTTGGGCATCTTCGTGATGTCGCGAAGGAAGCTTTCTGCTGCAATAAACCAAGGGGAACAAGGGCTAAGCTCTATTGCTCCTACTAAGGAAACCCAGAACGTTTTAAAGGTCTACTATTGGCTACGTAAGGAAGATCACCCGCAGCTCAGACAGGCTGGGAGAGGATTCTGTGCCAGTTTGGTCTGATCAGGGCGGCTGCCTGGTGCAAAGTAGAAAGAGGACCGGCAGTGAGAACCGCGGTTTGGGGCTTGAGAGCTTCCCAGTGACATGAAAGGAAGCGGACTCAGATTTGGGATTTGGGGGCCAGGGGTGGCGGGGGGGCAGACATGTGCGGGGGCGCCGGCTCTAAGGAAAAACATGGAACACGATGCTGGCGATGCGGGATGCAGCTACGACTGGGGGGGGCAGAGAAGCCATGGCCATGCCAGGAGCTAAGAACTAACTTCCTGGGTTCTTGTTGGGGAGTATAACCGGCGTTCCCATCCGAGTGCTTTTGAGTAATCTTCTCTAGCGTAGACAAGAACTCGTATCGTATGATCCTTCTTGTGTAGGGTTCAGGGTTTGGCGTTTAGGGTTTAGGGTTTAGGGTTCAGGGAACTGCATTCAAGTTCCTAAACAAGAACCTAGCTTCTCAAAGTCTTGGCAGCGCGCGGAGCATGCGAAAGCATTCCTGACCAAGCATCTTCAGCAATGGGTCATCTGCGCAAATATGTATATGTATGCGCACAATGTGTATGTAGATGTGTGTACTCTACATGTGCTTATATATATATATACAGATACATAATTACAAACATGTATATATATATATCTATATATATATATACATATACATCGTGTATATACACATATACATATACTACATATATCTATATGCGTGTATATATATGTAATATTCGGGTTTAGTGCTTGTCACGAGATAGTCCTACAAGTAAAGCCCCTAATTGGACCATAAAACCCTGTGGACCTTAATCTAGGAGGGCTAGGGTGTGTCTGCTGGGCTCGGGCCTTTCTTACTCCAGGCTGCCGCTGAAGGGTTTTGTGGGGATTAGGGTTTAGGGTTTAGGGGCAAAAAGGTGGAACCCAGCAGCAGCACTATCGGCATGCTCAGCACTGAATCGTGATTCCTATAGCTACCTTGTAGCCCGGTAACCGTCTGCCATAAGGGCACTTTTTTTTTTTTTGGGGGGGTGGGTGTTGGTTACTTTGTTTGCGAACCTCCCAAAAAGGGGAAATGGGTACCACCGAGCTACCAAGGCTATCGGATGCGCCCCAAGGCTTCTGAACAAGTCCTGTCCTGGAAGCGGGTGAGGGAGCCGCACACAAACTGTGCATCGGGATCCTGCACAAATGCCCGGGAGTTCGACCTAACCTCTAAGAACGCACCCTAAACCCTAAACCCCCAGCCCGAAACACTAAACCCTAAACCCTAAACCCTCAACGCAAGTAGGAAATGGACTGCGCTTGGCATCCCAGAGGTTCGGGGAACTCACAGGAACCCTACAACCTAAAACGGTTTAGGGTTTAGGGTTTAGGTCTTAGGCCCAAATCCTAAACGCTCAAGATTTGGAGCTCGGAGTCGGAATTCATCAGGCGGGGAAGGTCGGATACTGGGGCCTAATATAGGGGCTTTGCACCGCAGGAACAAACAACGTGCAATCAGTGTGCGCTTTTGGAGATGACAAGTCCAGTACGGCATTCAACGAGCAAGCATCCTGCAGCAAGCATCGGCGAGCATAAAGCCTTAGCACGCGGCCCAACAGGGCAGCCAAGGAGCAGCTGCTCCGTACTTCCACAAGGCAAGGAGCGAACGGCGTGCAAGCAAAGCATGAATGAAAAGTGTGAGGGCACCCAAGGAGCAAACAGCGTGCCAGCAAGCAGCTTCTAGGCCCAGCAGGGCACCCGGGCATCCAGGGAGCAAACAGCCTGCAAGAAAGCACCGTACGCACACTTATAAGTTACTTATAAGGCATAAAGCACGAGGCCCAGCAGGCCACCCAAGGAGCGAAGAGCACGCAAGCAAGCAGCGTGCCCACACTTACAAAGCGCGAAGCCGCGCAGGGCACCCAAGGAGCGTGTATTTTCAAGAGCGAGGCCCAGCAGGGCATGCAAGCAAGCAGCGTGCAAGCGCTTAAGAAGTGCAGCAGGGCACCCAAGGAGCATAAAGCGTGCAAGTTTGCAGCGCACCCACACTGGTAGGTAAGGTCTTAAAGCATGAGACCCAGCACGGCGCCCAAGGAGCGAGGAGCGTGCAAGCAAGTAGCGCATCGCGTCAGGGCCAGCAATCAGCAAGCGTTGCACAGCAAGCAGTTGCGCGCGCGAAGTGCACGGTGCTGGACAGGTCAAGTAGGTGCCTCTGGCGCGACAGAAGTCACGCTCGGCCAAATCGCATGACGGCACCCCTGAGCCTGCCAGCAGTGGCCCCACCACACGCAGCTATGTGAACCCTCATCACGAGCACAAACCCCGCTGACTTTCTTGCACATGAGCGTGCGCCGCATCCCATACATGCCTACAGGTTGCGCAAGCAATGTGCTCTTCTCATCCACGCTATGCAGTTTGGATGGCAAGTGGCCTAGACAAGCCAAGCCCTCCACTCCACTGCCAATAGGCACACTACAACAACTCACGAAGGAGTTTGCCAATAGGCTTGTTCAAAGAAGCTCTGCGAAGACTTCCAAGACCTCCGCAAACCCTCAAACCCTAAAAACAAAATACCCTCGACATATGGCAAGCCACAGAGAGCACATGGTGCCCCCCCTTGCTACCCTTTCTCATGGCCCTATATCCGAGAACCTATAAAGTTCAATCGTCTGCGCTGGCAAAGAGCAAGACAATGCGCGTGGATACGTATGGACAGTTCCCAACAGCCAAGCTCGGGAGAAGCCTCACTCCGGAACCAATCTGCGCAAGCCAGACTGAGCCAGCGCTGTTCGTGCGCGACTCGGAAGAGCACGATCGGGCAACGCTCGCGTGATCGGAAGATCGGGCACTGTTGCCATCTGCAGTTGCAAGAATCTCTGCCAGAAGTGCAGCGCCACTGCGGTACAGATGGGGCTGGTAGGTGATGCCGACGCTGTCACTCGTGGCGAACCCTCATTGCAGATGCATGTGGGGACGACATAGCCGGCAGCAATGTTCTAAAGCTCCACGGACCCAGTGATTCAACCGTCTCATCGATGACCTTGTCACTCGGCGCGAACAACAGTCATGGCGCATCCACAATGGCGCAGACCAAATCTCAACATCCGCCAAGGCTGTCGGAGTGAAGCGCTCGCCATCCATGTGGCCGAATCTCTCTGGAGCGTGCCATCGACAAACACAACAAACCCGAAATCATAGGTCAGACTGTCCTCATTCGAGTCGCTTTCAAGGTACTCGATACCCACGATGCCCTTTTCGTACTTGTTGCCAGATGGGTGCATCTCTGCCGGCTGCGTAAGGATTCCGAAATGGCCATAGTGCAGATTCGCTTCGCGGAAGATAACTACATCGCCAATGCCGACCAACTCCTCACCACGGCATGCTGCGACCAGCAGCAGTTCCGAAGCTCTTGCGTCGATGGGGCTACGCCAGCTCCGTCACCAAGCCCCTGGTGAGGCGTTTGGAGCGGGGAAGCCATCGAAGATTGCACGCAGACCCCGGCGATGGCGTCCTCCGTTTCTGCAGTCGCTGTCAGGGGATTCAATGTGTTGAGGATCCGCCTTTGCACACAAGCTACCAAACCACCTGTTCAGCATATTCAACACCTTGCAGATAGAAGGACTCGCAGGACTTGAGCTGTGCCAGCTTGAGCCAAAATGGCTACGGATAGGGTGTCATTGTCTAGGGACCATAATATTATTAGTGATTTTTCCGACCCCTGACTCAAGTCCACTTGTCCATTGCGGGGTCTCACGGTGAAAGAGGGGGCCATTGTGGGCTAGACCCAAGACCTAAACCCAACCAAAAGGAAGAAGGGCCTGGGGCCACCTAAAACCTAAACCCTAACCCTAAACCCTAAACCCTAAACCCTAAACCCTAAAACCCTGAACCCTGAACCCTAAACCCTAAACCCTAAACCCTAAACCCTAAAACCCTAAAGCCCTAAAACCCTAAGTGGGTGTCTCCTGCTGCACGAGGTAGCCCTGCACAAGAGTTCGGAGCTCCTGGCGTGGGGTCTGCTCGGACATTTTGGCATCCCGAGGCCCCGCTGTCTTGCTGGTTCTAGGTTAGGGTTTAGGGTTTAGGGTTTAGGGTTTAGGGTTTAGGGTTTAGGCTTTAGGGTTTAGGCTTTAGGGTTTAGGGCCCTATTTCCCTGATTTCCTACTAAGAACAAGGGGGGGCCATGTCTTTGGCAGCATGCCCATGTCCTTCTTATCTTCATCCGAGAGTGTCTCCGCCTCAGCTTGCCGCCAGTTTGCCCAGTAACCAAGGATTAGAAAGGGTTTAGGGTTAGGGTTTCTTGCTTAGGAGGGGGTTATAAGGCAGCCTAAAGCCTCGAAAAAAGGGAAATAAGGCTACTGGGCATCGTAGCACCCTCGTGTATGGCACGCAAAAGCTTGGGGATAAGATGCTAGCTCCTCTAGACACGACCTCGCAAGAGGAAGCAATACATTATCTTAGTTGCCCAATACCCTGGCCCAAAAAAGTTTAAACTTTTCTTTTAGTAGGGTTTAGTATACCCAAAAAACTTAAAGTTCGCCTATTGGGGTTTGGGGTTTAAGGTTTAGGGTTTAAGAGTAAGCTATACATTATAAGAAGCACCCTGCATCTTGCGCGTACCCAGGTCGGCGGCATTTTCGTCTCCGTTGAGCAGTGTCAGCTCGTCCTCAGTGGCCGATAGAGAGTTACTTAGGGCTAGATGGCCCTAAACCCTGAACCCTGAACCCTGAACCCTAAACCCTAAACCCTAAACCCTGAACCCTAAGCCCACTGCGGAGGCTTTACGGGTTTAGGGATTTCGGGAGTTTTGGGATAAGAGACTTGAGGGTTTAGGGGCTTAGGGACTTTAGGGTTAAGGGTTTAGGGTTTAGGGTTTCGGGTTTAGGGTTTAGGGGTTTAGGGACTTGAGGGTCAAGGAGTCTTAGGGTTGAGGGAAGATAGGATGTAGGGCCTTTTGGGTTAGCCAATTTGGGGTTCGGGGAGTGTTGTGGCTGAGGGATTTGAAGGTTTACGGGTTGAGGGGATCTTAAGGGTTAGGGCTTTTGTTGTTTACGGGTTTGTGGGTTTGGGCTGTTAGGATGTAGGCGGTTTTGGGCTGAGGGGTTTTGGGGCTTAGAGTTTAGGGTGCTTGCTTGCATGCTTGCTGCCTCGCTGGTCAGGCAAAAAAGGCTGAAAACACACGCAGGTCATTCCCCTCCCCATTCTGCCCCCCCACCCCCCCTCCCCCACCCCCTAAACCCTAAACCCTAAACCCTAAACCCTAAACCCTCAACCCCCCCGGAGTGCAAGCTAGTGGCTTTCAGTTCCGCGACTTCCTTCTTCAAGCGGCGGATGAGCAATGCAGGGTCCAGCTCCTCGCACAACGACTTCAGGGGAGTAAGACTCGTAAGACTCGTACCCCTAAGGCCCTGAGGATGTACCCCCAAAAGGGGTTTCCTTAACATCTTCCGAATATGATCCTGAAGTGCTAGGACGGCTTGCTTAGAGCAAGGCGGTTGATCTAACACTTCTGGGCCGTTCTGGGGTTTTCTGACCGTGTGCGCCTCTTAGATCAAAGCCTGTCGGAATTCATGGCCATTGTCCGAGATCAACAAGCACAACTGCGCTCTTGCCCACTTTACGATGAAACTTCTTGGCTCCAGGGCAAGGGGCCTAGGGTTAGGGGTTAGGTTCAAGCTCTGGGGGAGGGTTCGAGAGAAGCGCAGGAGCCACTCATTGACCGAAATACATGCTGAGATCAGGCCACAACAAGGGGCGTGCTAGTGAGCCCATTTCTGTCATGGTCATGGAAGCAGGGGGCTTCCGCCGGATGCAGGGTAAAGAGCCTAAACCCCAAACCTAAACCCTAAACCCTAAACCCTAAACCCTAAACCCCAAACCCTAAACCCCAAACCCTAAACCCTAAACCCTAAGCCCTAAACCCCTAAACCGCTGAAGCGCGTGCCTCGTTGACCATTGCGTTGTTCTTGATGGCTGCAACGCGCTGCGCAAAGCGGCAGGTCGAGATGGACCTCAGCCAGGAGCTCGAGCCACAGGATGCCCCAGAAAAGTTTGGAAAAGACATATATATATATGTATATAATTAACAAAAAATGATAATAATAATAATAGTAGTAATAATAATAATCATAGTAATAATAATGATAATGATAATGATAATGATAATAATAATGATAATGATAATGATCATGAGAATCGTAATCAAACACATTTTACAAGAATACATGATAGTATGATAAACCGTGCATATATATATATGTGTACATATATGTATGTACACACACACATATACATATATACATATGCATGTTGATATATTCGTACAGTGACGTATGAATATGGTCATATACTGTGGGCACGATACAAACCCGTTGATCCTCCGGTGTTCGCCGAACTATGAAATACGACACCAAGCTTCAACCACAAACCCCTCAAGAACCACGACTCCACCCGCCTTGAGCATCCTGAACCCTAAACCCTGTAAACCCTATAAACCCTATAAACCTTGTAAACCCTGTAAACCCCATAAACCCTGTAAACCCTATAAACCCTGTAAACCCTAAAGCCTAAACCCTATATATATATATACATATATATATATATATATAACCTCCAAGCATTTCTCAGCCCACGGCTCCTCCAAATGGCGTTCCTCAATGGCCGCGGTGCCGACCATGACGGTCTTGCAGTTTCCACCTGAGGGTTTAGGGTTTAGGGTTTAGGCTTTGGGGTTTAGGCTTTGGAAAGTGAGCGAAGACGCACAAATCGCACCTCCTTCAAGCCCTCAGCTACCTTGTAGCCCTGAAAAAAACTTCTGCTTGGGCATCGCATGCAGCGACAGAATATGGCTGAAGCATCCTTCCCACAGACCCCCAAATTCCTCAGAGGTTAGGGTTTAGGTACTCATTACATTCAGATTTTCTACCGCAAGTTGCGGGATCTCCTCTAAGGCATATTGGAGGGGTCTCTAAGCTCCGTTGGCCTGTCCGTTCTGCGCCTGGCCTTGCGGATCTTCTGAGGGCGCATGTGCTTTGACTTTCCCATGGTAACTTCAGGACTAGATCCGAGGGTTTAGGGTTTAGGGTTTAGGGTTTAGGGTTTAGGGTTTATAACAGCGCAACAGTATAAAACTCTCATAAAGTCTTATAACCCCATAATCATACAACAATACGAACTGAAAGTATAACCATCTATGATGTAAATCTTGCCGTCTTCGCTAAGCCCTGATTACGAGAGCAAGGTGTGAGCAGCGGCCATGGAGCTATTCCCGCTCTGCCCACTTCCGAAAAGCAACGCACACGCTCACACTCAAACTCAAACTCACACGCACACACACTCACACACACACACACACACTCACATATATATATATATATATATACACACACACATAAGCAAAACAAACAAACAAAAAAACAACACAGAACCCCCCCCCCCCCCTCCCCCCCACAGCCAGACCAGGGTTTGGACCCAACGAGTCCCGCAGAACCGAGGTCATCATGGAATTCCTGCATCTGAATCTTGCAAACTTGCGCATACCAAGAGCTGGAAGGAAAGCTTGGGGCGGGGGGGGGGGTGGGGCGCTGCACCTTTATCTGGGATGGCGGGACCAAAGCTCTCATGCAGGAGCCCAGGTTGTTATTCCCTCTTCGTCCCTGCATATACGGAAACGGCTTCTGCTCATGAGCTGTCCTGTATGGCACATGGCTGCGCTCTCCAGACGAGCGCTCGTGCAAGGCCACGATGACTTGCTCCAAGTAGTGCCTCAAGTTTAAGGCTTAGGGACTTTCCCAAGCACAGAAAGAGCACATTCGAAGAACCTACGCACAATGGAACAACCTATGGCTCGTGTGAGCACAGCAGCAAGGCGTGAAGATTCAGGGGTTAGGGTTCTTGGGTTCTTTTCTGCTGTCTGCGACCCCGAACCCTACAAGGCGACAAGCCTGCCCTTTCGGGACCAAAAAGGCGCAAAACAGAAGCCACAGACAAAAAACCCAGACAGAAGCCACGTGCACGCCTGAGGCGCAGGCAAAGAAAGGTTGATGTAGCGCGCTTCTTTCTGCAAGTCGCCCTCCACCTCGGAGACGTCGAAACCCTAAACCCTAAACCCTAAACCCAATCGGAGGGGGGGGAAGCTGTCGGTTGAAGGACTCCAGGATTTCGACTCTACTGTAGACTCCAAAAAGTTGGGACACCTTTATCCCCATACCCCAAAAGGTCTACTAAAGGGAACCCATGCTCTGATCATCCACCCCAACCATGCTCCAACTTTCTGGAGTGTACTGTAACCGGAGAAGGCAGCTGTTCGGCAGATCGGCCGGGATTTGGGTCGGTTTAGGGTTTAGGGTTTAGGGTTTAGGGTTTAGGGTTTAGGGTTTAGGGTTTAGGGTTTTTTGCCACCCGTCTAGCCACGGCAATGCGGGGAACTTTTTTTTTCTTCAGGTCCTCCAGGCACGCCAACATGTTCATGGGCATTGGCACGTAGGACCTGATTTCATTCGCAGCTGCAGTCCTGGCGTCGTTGCTGACTACCATCTTCCCATAAGCCTGTCCTATCCAAGCCTCCTCGCTGCGCCCTCCTGCAGGCCCGTTGTAGTCCGTGCATGACCTCCGCTTCAGCTTCAGGATCGTAGCAGAGTTTCCTTTGAAGACCGGTCTCAGGCTCAGCTCATCCAGCCTGATTCTGTCGGTGGTAATCCCGAACAGCCCTTTCTGGATTGCAGCTTGCTTCTTGAACAGATCTTCCAACCCATTCTCTGCCACCTTCGCTCTGAAGGCTGCTATCTGCTCATTCACCTGGATGTTCGTACTCTGAGCAGGCACTGCTTCCGCCAAGACGTCCCTCATGAAATCAACCGACAAGCTCCTGTCGAAGCGCAGCACCTGCGCAGAGATATCGTGCCATCCTGCACATTGGCCGCCGCGGCCACGTAGAGGCGCACGGTCACAGTATGGTAACGGAGCCCTTCCAGATCAGCCAGCCCCATGATCTTGCGGACGTCGGACCGGTGAGCCTCTATCATTCTCAGCAGCGCGTCGCTTCGCCCTACTGACTTGCTTTTCTGGTCGGCCAGCACAGAATACACCTCCTTTGCCATTTGCTTCTCCTGTGCGTGAGCTCCTTCACGACGCGGGACGTCGTTGCTAAGCAAGCAACGAGCCAACTGCAGGTCCCACTCCTTGGTCATACCTGCTGATGCCGTTGCTGCAGTACCGGCGTATGCCAGAGCGTCGCTGAGCTCGTGCGACAGCGCTTTCGTTGAGGCCTGTGGAATCGCACGGATACAGGACGCTCGATTGTCCGGGCCGTGATGAGTGCCAGTATTCAAGTAGGTGATTCCGACAACCACATCTGCCCTCCGCAGGATGCGATCTGCTTGGGCCTCATCAAGGCGACTCAACTCAGCAGACCTTTCGACTCCCACAGCCAGGACGAAGTTGCGTCTCTCGTTCATCCCTGTGTTGACACCAGGCAAGGGGCACAGGCTGTTGATCACCCGCGCGCTAAGGTTGCTAGGGCTTCTGATCTCGCCTCTCCTGGTCATTTGCTCTGTGGCCAGTGTGATGATCCCAGGTGTCTCCTTTGACAGGATCCCCGCTCCATCTCCCCATTTAAACTCTTCCAGGGACGCTGCACTCGTTTTCACAGTGTGAGTTCCCACCCTGGTCATTTCGTCGTCCTCCTTCTTAGCTTCTTTCTTGGGCTTTGGCTCTTGGTGGACTTTGGCGTTGTTCACATCATCGATTGTCTTTCCGGACTTCTCACTGAAAGCCACCCCTATCTCCACTGGCTCCTTGAGGCTCGTGTACTTGACTTCGCCTAGCCTCACTTTGTTGGCCACTTCAGAGCTGGAAACGCTCATTCGCTTGCGTATGACGACGTGCAAGCCTTTGCTGGCATTCATGCCATTCCTCATCACGTCCCTCACTTTTTCCTGGTCCTTAGCCTTTTCGCACTTGGCACTGTTTCCTTCCAGCTTGGCCACCAGAGCTGACCCGTCTTCCAGAAGACCCACCTGCGTTGCTTTGACTTTCACCTTCTCCTTCACGGTCAAGTTCTTTGCACCCCAACGCATTAGTTCTGCTTTCTCCCTCGCCATTCTCTGGTACTTTCCCTTCCCATCTTGCTCATGGGTGTAGGGGGCATCTGGTGTGTTCAGTCCAAGCACTGCCATTTGCTGGTTTGAGGCATTGAGTTTGCCGATCTCCTCTTGCTCCGGCTTTCCTTCATACTCGCTGTCCGCTTTCTGGAGGATGGCTTTTCTGCTCTCAGGATCGACAATCAGCCCAAAATGGGCTATCTTGGATTCAGCCATCGGTGACTACGGTCGCCATCCGCTTGAGCCAAAATAGGGTTTAGGGTTTAGGGTTTAGGGTCGCAAAACTTCATCGGCCAGAATGAGGATTCCGGCGCTGCAAGCGTGGGTTTTGGGGTTCTGCTCGAGATTAAAAACAGTCGGAACTCCGAGCCTGTTTAGGGGTTGTGGCATGTGGTCCCTGCACATCCAGAGGGGTTTAGGGTTCGGGGTTAGGGTTCAGGGTTTGGGGTTCTGGGCTTCCGGATACCAACATACGACAGAACATGTAATCCTTTGGGAGCCTGGTACTCCCCACCTATGTGGGAACTGAGGGGAAAGGCTACGCCGCGGCAGAATCTATCCTGGCAAGTGCCTGTAGACCATGTATGGAGACAGTATTCGAGGATGGCCCTTAACACCCTCTGAAACATGTTGGAAAATATCCGAAACATGACCCTCGTAAGGGAACACATATGAAGCACCTACGTGGCCTAGTACGGCATGCAGGTCCCGTACCTGCTGACGGTGCGGCAGCCTGATCCTCCGCCCGCTGCTTGAGCAAAGCTAGGAGATTTCTGCGACAAAACGACTCAATGCGGAGATCTTCACCTCAACCCTAAACCCCCCCCCCCTTGGGAAACTCAACCTGAGGCTCCTGCCCCGCTTTTGGATATCCGCTCGCTTCCGGCCTTGCCGACTCCCGTGGGTAGGGTTTACGGTTTAGGGTTTAGTGTTTAGGGTTTCGGTCTTTTGTTGTTTTTTGGGTTTAGGGTCTAGGGTTTAGGGTTTTAGGGTTGAGGGTTTAGGGTTGAGAGTTTAGGCTTCAGGTGCTGAGTACCTTAGAGGTTAACCTTTCATCTCTGGTAGATTTTATATGCCCTGAAAGGTTAAAGGTCTTACTCAGTTACGGTGTATCTTAGTTGTCCAGTAGGGGAACAAAAGGTTAACCTTTGGGAATTTATAGGGATTATACTATCCCCAAAAAGGTTAAAGGCTATCTACTCTACTACTGAGGCATACCGCAACCTCTCCGGCTTCACGCTTGGGGGCTTAGGCAAACAAAGTCGACCCAAGAGTTAGCCCTGAAAAAAAAGGTGCCCCTTTTTGGGTTTAAAGGGGCTTCTTATAAGGGAACCTAATCCCTGTAAAAAAAGAAAAAAACGCCTACTGTGGGTCCGAGGAAAGGTAGTGCCTAGCCGGCCTAGCCGGTCCACACCAACGCACGAGCATGTCTAGGTTGAAGGGGTAGGATAGGGTTGTGAAGCAATACTGGCCCTGGATGTTGGACCCTGGACCCTGGACCCTAAACCCTAAACCCTGAACCCTAAGCCCTAAGCCCTAAGCCCCTAAGCCCTAAACCCACAGCGTTAAGTAGGTGCAGGGTGGTGAGGCTCGGAACTCACTTCAGATGCTCATTATTTAGGTTTTGGCTTTTGCTGTAGAATCCCTAAACTCTGAACCCTTAACCCTTGACCTTTTTTTGCATCCAGGCTTGGGTGAGCGTGCCCTAAAACCCTAAAACCCTAAACCCTAAACCCCAAACCCCAAACCTTAAAGCCTACAAGGGCATACGTACCGCGGAACTCGGATGCTGAGGCTCTTGGTGGTCCCATTGTTTTGGGCATGGCTGTAGTCTTGTTTTGGATATAGTTTAGGGTTTGGGGTTTAGGGTTCAGGGTTTAGGTTTTTTTTTGCCACCCGACTAGCCACGGCAATGCGGGGTACAAGGTTTAGGGTTTAGGGCTTTGGGTTTCGCGTACCCCTATGGCCGCCCCAAAATCCGATGTCCCTGATTCAAGAAAACCCCTATCTTCGGACACTCATATTTCGAGCCGTGCGTGGGGATCTGATCCTTCCCTATGGGGGCACTCTTCTGCCAGCGGCCCTGTTGTGTTCCCGTTTGGGGTTCCGGTTGTCCTTAAAGTTTCTATACTCCCCTTAGAACCTGAATAAAAGAAGTATGTTGAATATCCTTTTGTGCTTTATATGAACAAAAAAACATTCCCACAAAAGGTTTTGGTTTTGGGGCATTTCCAAGAGGCAAAAAGCAAGCAACGCATGCCAAGTTGCGAGGTCTACCAAGTGGAGCTTTGCTCGCCGCACCTTTGCGCGCACAGGGTTGCAGGGCCTAGAACTTAATGGGTTCCGGGTTTAGGGTTTAGGGCTATAAGCTTTCGTTGCATTTGGTCTGGGACGCTTGGGGCTTTTGAGCCACTCCCGACGCATGCAGCAGTAGGTATCATGTGCCCCAAACCCTAAACCCTAAACCCTAACCCTAAACCCTAAACCCTAAACCCTAAACCCTGAACCCTGAACCCTGAACCCTAAACCCTGAACCCTGAACCCTGAGCCACGAGCCGTGTCAGAATTGGCCTGTGTTGACTCGACCCACATGATGAACCTGGGCAGCGCAGGCACGTTTAGGGTTTAGTATTTAGGGTTTAGGGTTTAGGGACGGTGCAGTTGCTTAGTTGTGCAGCAACCTAGGGGAACTAAGGTTAACCTTTGGGAACTTGTAGGGATTATCGATCCTACCAGTTGCTTAGTCGCCCAGTAACCTAGGGGAACTAAAGGTCAACTTTTGGGAATTTGTAGGGATTATCCTGCCCGAAAAAAGTTCAAGGTTATCTACTCTACTACTAAGGGATTTGAGGGCAAGAGGAGAGTGAGGAGAGTGCGCCGAAGCCGAGTTGACGTCGCAGTGGCATGGCCAGGATGTTGCACAGATTTTCTGGCAAAAGCTTGCGAGAACCCAAGTTTCCCAGCAGGGTCTCCAAAGAAATGAAAACCTTATGCGTCTTCACCACAACGAAGAATGAAGGACCTCCTGTCCGCTGCAACTCATACGTCTCAAGCGTACTTGGAGGTTCGCGGGTAGTTGTAGTAGGGTTAGTCAGAAGTATGGTAAGTATGCTTATCACCCCTTTCAGGGCACTAATACTTAATATAGCTACCTATGAACCTCCACGTAAAGGTCACCTAAGTCTGACAGCCCAGCATCAAAGCACTCCTTCAGCATGCAGGCAGACATCGAACTGTACTTCAAGGAAGCCCGACTCATCTGCACACACCTACGGACACACACACACACACACACACACCCGTTCACGCATCATGACAGAAACCGCACAGAGCTTCCATAGATTAGAATTAGAACCGCCCTGATATTGTAGAATCACCGGAAACCATCCACCAAAAAATACTAAGAAGGAAAAAAGGCAAGCCTGATTTGCGTGAACCCAGAAGCGGACGCGATGGAGAAGCTTCGACATGACATGCATCCAGCATGCAAGAATTCTGGGAACCCCGTACGTAGTCCTGATACCGCTGACTCCCACCCAGCAAAAAAAGGGTTTAGGGTTTAGGGTTTAGGGTTAAATCATGGCTCCTTCAGGGTGCCTGTCAGGCGACGGGCCCGTGTATTCTGGAGAACTCGACAAGGCACGCCGAACTCAGAGAGTTGCCCACATGGCCTAAGAGGTCGGTTCAAGAGAGGATGTGCCTCAGCCCAAGATCCAACGCCTTCACAGATGGACAGACATGATGAAAAATCTTGAACCGAACATCTCATCTCGAAGCCCAATGTCAACCCTCCAAGAAGCACCACAGAACATCCTATGAAACCCTAAACCCTAAACCCGAAACCCTAAACCCTAAACCCTGGGAACGTAACACACCGCCTGAGATCCAAGTCAAGGCTCGCTGGCTAAGCCCTAAACCCTAAACCCTAAACCCTAAATCCTAAAACCTAAGGGATGCCACGGGCACTGATAAACCCTGGGCCCTGGTCTGTACATACGCGCACTTCAGCAGCGCTGTATAAACCATTTCATTTCTTTATCCACATGCATGATATACTCCCTGTATATTTACGTACGCTAAAGCGCCAAAACTCAAAAAAACCCTGGGGTCCTTATAGACCCTAAACCTTAAACCCCAAACCCTTCAGGACGCACCCCAAACCCTCAACCCTAAACCCTAAACCCTCAACCCTAAACCCTAACCTTTTCCGCAGATCCCTGCTTTAATCCCATGGTCTTCCGAGGATCCGGCATGCAGTGGCTTCCTTAGACCCGGCGTGGCACCAAGCATGCCCAAGCTCGCTAGGGTTTAGGGTTTAGGGTTTAGGGTTTAGGGTTTAGGGTTTAGGGTTTAGGGTTTAGGGTTTAGGGTTTAGGGTTTAGGGTTTAGGGTTTAGGGTTCAGGGTTCAGGGTTCAGGGTTCAGGGTTCAGGGTTTAGGGCTCAGGGTTCAGCATCTCAAGTTCATGCACTATGAAACATCGGCACCAAACTCGAAAGAATACCCACCTACCCAAACAAGGGAGTCCCGGGAGGCCCCTAAAGGGAAGCCCCCCCCCCAAAAAGAGAAGCCCTTGAAGGGAAGTTCCTAAAGGAAGCCTTTCTCATGACGCCCCTTAACAGAAGCCAGGCACTGCTTCACCCCAAACCCCAAACCCTAAACCCTAAACCATAAAACTCGCCAGGCACCCTCAAAGAAGAAACCTCTGGTGAGCCCTAAAGGAAGAGGAGGCCCTGGGGAGGTCCACCTAGGAGAATAAGGCCGGGCTCCTTTCAAGTCTAGGGTTTAGGGTTTAGGGTTTAGGGCTTAGGGCTTAGGGTTTAGGGTTTATTTACTATGAAGACGAGCGTCTGGTGGACACATCGTTCATGGGCGTCTCCGCTACCACTCTGTTCGTGTCGCCGAGGAAGAGCAAATTTAGCCTTGGGAAGAACAAACGGCTTCCGAAGCTTCGCCAGTACCCTAAAGCCCAAGAAGCAACCCCAAATCCTTCCCCTAGCTTCCGTAGGTTCTCTAGTACCCTTCATTCTAGAAAAACTAACCCTAAGCCCTCACACCCTAGGAGCGTGCCCTTCTTTGGTGGCTTCTGCAAGGGGCCCCAACACCACGAGACAAAAGGAAGAGCGGTACTACTGGGGGCATCCGAGGCATGTTCAGACGCACGCAAGGGTTGAGGGTTTAGGATTTAGGTTTCAGGGCGGTTCAGGCGTTTCAAGCACAGGCCGAGGTTTGCAACCTGGCTTTTGTTTAACTTGTTAAATTGGGACGTTCCCCTTATACTAACAGTCCTTAACAGGGATTGTAATAGGGGGTACTATAGTCCCTACTTTGGACTAGTATAAGGGGGAACATCCCAACTAGAACCCCAAAAAGGACATGACGGTGCCGCGTTTAAGGCGTCGGGGTCTAGGGCTTTAAGTTTTGAGACTTAGGGTTTTTCAAGGTTTTGCAGATTTCTTCTGTTTTTTGAGGGTTTGTTTAGTTTAGGGCTGTAAGTTTTAGGGTTTTTTGGGTAAAGGACGAGGGCATAGGGTTTGCGTGAGGGTTTTGGGTTCGAGGGTTTTGGATTCGAGGTGGAGGAGGGGTATGAGGGGTGGGGGGTGGGGTACTGATAAGTGACACGAAACCTAGGCTCTAGGGCTTAGGGTCCGGGTTTGGCGTTTGAGCTTTGAGGTTTGGGCGAAAACCTACACTAACCATGATAAGGAACCCCACACTACCCACTCCAAAAACCAACAAAAACCCCGATACTTCACTTGGAGCCATAATACAAACAATATGTTGCATCCTCCCGCAGGTCTTGCAGGAACAAAAGAAAAGAACCTTAAACCCTGAGCCCTGAACCCCGAACCCTAAACCCGACACCCTAAGGTTGGGATTTCTGAGAGGTTGACCTGCGTGGGTTCAAGACTCTGCTTGAATTTAGGAATTCCTTCGTCGGCCTCGAGTTTTTAAGCCCGGACACGCATAAGATGTCCCTTTTGCCGGGTCATAAGATGTCTTTCAACCTCGAAACCCTGAACGCTAAACTACATTGTGTCAAGTTATCGGTTTCAGGGGGCCGAGGTTCTGGCCCCAATCTTCCGCAGAGGAATGTTCCATCGCCGAGGCACGCATCTTCCTCCTTCTGGGCCATGTTCACCGACAGGTTGCGCAGGTGCATGTTGCCATCCTCCCACTCATTAGGGTTGGGTTTAGGGTTAAGGACACTTTAAACGCTAAACCCAAACCCTGAACACAACGGCGACCCTACACAAACGAAAGTGAAAAAATGAGAGACCATGAGCGGTTCTTTAGGGCTCAAAAGCTTCTGTGCCTTATCGAGGCATCGTGTAGGCTTACTTTGGCCTTTTCGAGACCCTAAACTCTAGACCCTAAACCCTAAACCCTATACCCTAAACCCTATACCCTAAACCCTAAACCCTAAACCCTAAACCCTAAACCTAATTCCATTACTACCTGGTGAAGTCTAAGAGCTTCTTTTTGCGTTTGTTTTCATTGGACAAAGATCGAGGGAATCTCTCAGAGAGGATGCGCGCAAAAGAGAGCCTAAACCCTAAATCCAAGAGGTCGGAGGCTTCTTGCTGCCTAGGCTGGGGCAGCTCTAGGGTGTGAGCAACACCCCCACCCTACATAAGCCAAACCCTACTTGGAGGTTCATAGTACTTATTCACCAATTCTAACTGTACTTACAACCCACTGAGAAGCCCCTTGCGTGCCCTCATATGGTTTTAAGTACAATTGCAGGTACAGATATTAGTGGTTAATAAGTACCATTAAGTCAAAGTATTTTGCCGGGGTGCGGGGCCGAGCCTCACCCAGACCTGAAAAAGCTAGGAAAAATGCTAAGCGTCTCAACCCTAAGCCCTAAAGTTGCAAGAAATGGTAACTAAACCCTACGCCCTCAACCTTAAGCTGGGTTCTTGCTAAGGAGGTAAAGTTGCAAGACATGGTAACTTTCGCATGCCCTACTGTGGAGTAGACCCTGGAGAAAAGTATATACCTTTTTAGTATTAGCAGCGCTAGTAGGAACCCAGAAACCTAAACCCCAAACCCTAAACCCTAAACCCTAAACGCTAAACCCTCAACCCTTAACCAAAGAAAGTATTACGGCATAGTACTCCAAAACCTAGAACTCCTTAACAAGAGCCCAGAAAAAAAAAAAAAAAAAAAAAAAAAAAAAAAAAAAAAAAAAAAAAAAAAAAAAAAAAAAAAAAAAAAAAAAAAAAAAAAAAAAAAAAAAAAAAAGTGGTGCCGACTCTCGGCAGCAACCAAGGCACGAAATGTTAGGGTTTAGGGTCTAGGTTCTAGGGTTTAGGGTTTAGGGTCGAGGGTCAAACCCCTCAGCCGGTCCTCATCTTGGCGGAGCTGCACTTTGGGCAGGTCCTGTTCTCTGTTTAGGGTTTGGGGTTAGGGTTTAGGGTTAGGGTTTAGGCTTTGGGGTTTGGGGTTTAGGGTGGGCTGGGTTTTGGGGGGGCTCTCTAGCAATTCTGGGCTGGGTTTGGGGGGCTCTGCAGCTTCGTTGTCCAGTAGCCTAGGGCAACTAAAGGTGAATGAACCTTTGGGAACTTATCGGGTTTAGGAAAATTAGAAGGGTCGCTGCTTGGAACGAGCCTTCCCCGGGGATGTTCCCCCATATACTGACAGTCCTTAGTCGGGATTATACTAGGGGGGGTAGTATAATCCCTATTCAGGACTGCCTGTATAAGGGGAGCATCCCAATCGAGACCCCATAATCCCAAAACTCTAAAGCCCCAAGCTCCAAGCCCCTCCCCAATGATTTTGAGAAGTGACCCTGCGACCCGTCACTCCCCCAGAGTCCCCAAGGGTTTAGGGTTTAGGGTGTAGGGTGTAGGGGTCACTCGGCACTCTAAGTTACTAGGTCTCTCTATTTCAGTCCTTTAGGTTGAGAGTTTGGGGGGCTCTTGAACGGCACCCAGAGGCCCCCAGAACCTCTCCCGGAAGGTTTTCTCACGCTCGTTTCGGAGGTCTGCGGGTCCCTCGAGAGAAGTGCCCACCTTGCCCTCTGCCTGCTTCAGACGTCAGGTGTGCGGTTGTGGGGCGAGCAACCCTAAACCCTCAACCCCAAACACACACTACAAGCTAATGTAGGAGCCTGAACAACTAGATTAGGGTTTGGGGGGTCATACAGTATAGTATAAAGGGGACCAGAAGGGCATACTAGGAGCAATTATTCCGACCCTCATATTACACAATCTAAGGTAACCTTAAATCCTAAACCCTAAACACTATGTTACGGACTTTGGGGGCGTTGTAGTTCACAGACGCCCAGCTTGAGGCTCTTTTCACATACCCAGCTTGCTGTTCAGGAACTTGAGTGGTTTAGGGTTAGGGTTTTGGGGGATACATAAAACAAACAAATTTTTAAACCAGACGAACTACTTGTGCTTTCTTATTCTGGGAACTTCATCCGCATTCCCTATCAGCCTGCCGAGGGTACTTCCTTTAAGGGCTGGGGGGCGGAAGTATACGTATCACGCTGAAATAAATGGCTCGCTGGAGCTTGGGGCACTCCTGTGAGAAGCCCTGTCTGTACACTTGTGAAGTTTATTGAAATCTTATTGTGCTTCTATCGGGATGTTCCTCCTTATTGTAACAGTCCTTAATGGGGATTCTGACAGGGGGTACTATTATCCCTATTAAGAAGGGAGAACATCCCAATGATTCTACCCTTTGCTCCCACTACTGCTTGTCTGGCCTTCACCACTGGCCTTCGGCCCAGCACTGAAGCACCCAGGCAAGCAGGGTTCCGCATGAGCTGCTTTAACGTCTCCCCGCATGAGTCACCCCCTCACCTAGTTGCTGAGTACCCTGGCCCAAAAAAGGCTGGATTATATATGTATAACCCTAAACCCTAAACCCTAAACCCTAATATATACCCCAAAAGGTTAGAGGTTGCCTACTCAGATACTAAGTCTATGATAGATAAAAACCCTGCCAAGGCAACCCTAAACTTGGGATTTCTCCCTTATACGAAGAGTCCTTAACACAGTCAAATTATAGCACCCCCTACTAGACTCCCCCTATTAGGGGACTGTTAGTAAGAAAAAGGGGGAACCTCCCAAAATGTAACTCCCTAAGCCCGAAACCCTAAACCCTAAATCTGGACTCGAAAAGCTAAGCTCATGACGAAGAAGCTCCCCTTTTGTCGTGGGCTTGGGTGGCTTTCGTACGTATGTCGATCCGCCTGCCCAAAGACTTTACAAAGCGCCCCCCTATGGCTCTCAGAAAGAAGGGGGTGGGGCCGTTTCGGGTTGGGGACTCTACTGTTTGCTTAAGAACCACCCGAAAATACAGAATAATCTCTATATAACCCTCATAAGGAAGAAGATTTGTACTTGTTTGGGTGATTCTTAAGCAAATAGTAGCAAATGGAGGGTTTGAGGGGTGGTTTCGGGTTTGGGACTCAGGGTTAGGGACCGAAAGCCACAGGAGAAACAGGTACCGCGGGGAGGCGTGCGGTGTGAAGTCCGAAACTCAAAGCGCAACAAAAGATCGCAAGTTCCCGGCAACCGTACGGGTAGTTCTCTAAACTGGAGTCCCCTTTTTGGGTCATACGTATATATATATATATAGAATTTTAGATCTATGTCCGGCACCGGACCCTAATTTAGCGAACTACCTACAATCCCTCAACCAAACCTTAAACCCGAAAAGGAACTAAACCCTAATCTAGACCCAAGGAGTAACCTAGAAATTCTTTAGGAACCCTATAAGAGGATCTTAAACCCCAAACACTTTAAACCCTACTCCCTCCCTAAACCCTGAAGCCTAAAACCCTAAACCCTAAACCCTAAACCCTAAACCCTAAACCCTAAACCCTAAACCCTAAACCCTAAACCCTAAACCCTAAACCCTAAACCCTACTTTCTTGGATCGGGCACTTTGCTGCTTCGTGAAGCTAAGCACACGGGGCACCTCAGGCTCGCTTCTCCTGGCACAGCGGAGCACCCGCAGGGCTTAGGGTTTAGGGTTTAGGGTTTAGGGTTTAGGGTTTAGGGTTTAGGGTCGGGGTTTATAGGGTTGTTAGGGTTTAGGGTTGAGGGTCTAGGATTTATGGGGTTTAGGGTTCAGGGTTTCAGTGCGTGTGTTTGAAGCCTCTTTTTGAAAAAAACCGGGTCTCCGCTTCACTTTAATGAGGCGGCTGCCTCAGAGCGGTTCCGCAGCGTCAAAAACTAAGGACCCAAAAACCCTAAACTGAAGGCACTCAAAGAGGGACCCTTATAGGGTTTAGGGTTTAGGGTTTAAGGTTTAGGGTTTAGGGTTTAAGGTTTAGGGTTTAGGGTTTAAGGTTTAGGGTTTAGGGTTTAAGGTTTAGGGTTTAGGGTTTAAGGTTTAGGGTTTAGGGTTTAAGGTTTAGGGTTTAGGGACCCTTCTATGAGCCCCTCCCTCTACCCCTTGAAGCCCAGTAACAATCTCGTGATGAGGATAACCTTTTGGGGGTTGGTTACTTTATGAGGGGACCTAGAACACCCCCCCCAAAAAAGCCAAAACTACCACTGGGCTACGAAGCAACATTGCTAAGTCATGACCCTAAACCCTAAACCCTAAACCCCAAACCCCAAACATTGCAAAGTCATGACCCTAAACCCTAAACCCTTTTTTGAGCACGGACTGAGGGGCATGCCGGCAGCTCAGGGGACATGTGTTGACGCTATGCATCACAGATCCACTTCCGAGCACAAACTAGAAGACTAACGACACGCACACCAGTTCAGGTCAGGTGTTGTCTGCACATTTTCCAAGTGACTGGAGGCGCTGCTGCCTGCGACGACTCCTGTCGTCAACCTTTTTGGCATGAGCCCGTGCCTGCACCTCTTCAAGGGTCATGTGCGGCAACCATGGCATCACAACCGACGACGACACATCACTGCTTGCCTCTGCTGATGGCTCGCATCTGGACATAATCCGAGTTGATATGGGTTCGCCAACGGAATGGCTGAGTTGGGCCACCTGTGCGCTCAAGTTCTCAACCTGCTTCTTCATGCCGTCCATGATGAGCTCAAACTGCGGCCTGGAGATGACCTCTACCTCGGTTTGCGTGGCGCTTTCCCGACAGTCCAGCTCTCCACGCGCCTGCACAAAGCAGCCCTCGTTGTCTGGATTGCCCTTGTCAGAGGATTTTTCATGCCTGAAAGCACCGCTTCTGAGAGCACTGCTGTCGACATCAACGACAGTCGAAGTCTGCATCTTTGACTGGGTCTGAATGGAAGGATCACACCCTTGGCTTGGAGCATCGTCGACAAGCACCGTGGAGATGCTTTCACTCATCATGTCACTGAAGCTCAATGCCGAGTAGAGACTGATTGGTTTTTCATGCGGACTGTGACATTGGTTGTCTTTGTCAAAGAGTACAAACCATGCCAGAGGTGGCCAGCAACATCAATCTCCTTCTGTCTCTGTGCTAATCTCAGAGTATACCCAATGCAAGCAACGAGTTTTCTGTCTGCCATGGCACAAGTGAGGCAAGAAATTCTACGAATTGTCAAGCATTACCCTTTCGGGTCTCGTAGCCAAACCTTGAGCAAAAATGGCTCCCTTGAGCCGTAGCCATTTTAAACCCTAAACCCAAAACCCTACATGAGCCGCAGTCGGCCGAGGAAAGCGCACCCCACACTTAGGGCTCCTTATGATAAGGGGATCCTACTATTTGGGGTTTAGGGTTTAGGGTTTAGGGTTTAGGGTTTAGGAGTCCTCATTATATGGGAATTCTCCCATTTTGGGGGGTCTATTTTAGGGTCCCCTATCTTCGGAAACCCCCATATAAGCAGAGTCGTCCGGTGTCCTAGGACTAATGGTTAACCTTTGGGATTAAACGGTGAACGGAATGCCCCAAGAAGGTCAAAGGTTTCCCCGTTAAACCCTAAACCCTAAACCCTAAACCCTAAACCCTTTTTGAACCTGGAGGTGCTTCATGCCAGAACTGAGGGCCGCGCTGACCCTAACCCCTAACCCCTAACCCCTAACCCCTAAACCCTAAACCCTAAACCCTAAACCCCAACCCCTAAACCCTAACCTACTCCACTGATAGTAGCAGAGTCTACTACTAAGTAGGCAACAGCAACACGCGGGAACGTGAGGGAACTTGAGGGTGTAGGATTCTAATGTTGTGCCTCTCTTGGGACTTTTCTGAAGCTGCGGTTTAGGTTTAGGGTCTGGGGTTTGCGGGTTGGGCTTGGGGTTTGGGGTTCGGGGTTTGGGGTTTGGGGTTTAGGGTTTGGGGTTTGGGGTTTGGGATTTGGGGTGGGGGGTTTGGGGTTTGGGATTTGGAGTTTGGGGTTCGGGGTTTGGGGTGTGGTTTGGGGGTTGCAAGTTCCGACACGCCTGGATCGCCAGCACTGGTGGTGCCAAATTCTCAGGGGCCTTGATCCGAAACACCTCAGCCACCCGCTTGAAAGGTTAAGGGTTTAGGTTTAGGATTGGGTTTAGGGTTTTGGTTTCTTTGTAGGTTACTTGAGACTCCTAAACAACAACCCTAAACCCTAAACCCTAAACCTTAAACCCTAAACTCTACACCCTAAACCCTAAACTCTACACCCTAAACCCTAAACCCTGAACCCTATAATCACATCCGGAAGCAAAGCTTGAAAGGGGTTCCTAAGAGAACCGGGCCTTCGAGCGAATCCACTGGCTCGATGCTCTTAGAGAAAAGAGAACACCTTAGGGTTTAGGGTTTTGGGAATAAATTAAAAATACGTATACATGTATATAAAGATATGTGTGTAGGCGTGTGTATATATCTAGAAATATATACACACATATATATATATGCTA